ATCTGGTATTTAAGTTCAGACCATCATTTGACTGTGTGTTATGCTGGTTTAGGTTGAAGACCCTGATATTAATTGCAGACTGTGTTAAAATCTTGGAGATTTTTTACTGACTTTTCAGGGAAATCCTGAACATTTACTGGAAAATAAATGAAATATAAATAATTAGAATAGAAAAAATGGATTGGTCTTGTGACATAGCAGAATGTTCTTAGCTACTATTTTCAATGCCTTTTTCACAGAATAAAAGAATATTTTAGGGTTAGAAGGGACCTCTGGAGATCATCAAGTCTGAACTTTTCCCTCAAATATACTTTGAGGTGAAACTGAGCATATATATTTTTTGTTAAGAAGTAAATGTGTCTGGAGAAAATGTGTTTTGATGCTGGGTTTTCCTGATATTTCGAAATGACAAGAGCATATAAATGCTGTTTTTAATCAGTTGAGATCACAGAATTAACTAGGTTGGAGATCTTTGAAATCATCAAGTCTAACCTATGACCTAATACCACTTTGTCAACTAGACCATGGCACTGAGTGCCACATCCATTCTTTTCTAAAACACCTCCAGGGACAGTAACTTCACCACCTTCCTGGGCACCCCACTCCAATGCCCAATCACCCTCTGTGAAGAATATCTTCCAACCTAAACCTCCTCTGGCCCAGCTTAAGACTGTGTCCTCTTGTCCTGTTGCTGGTTCCCTGGGAGAAGAGACTGACCCCCCCACCTGGCTAAAGCCTCCTTTCAGGTGGTTGTAGAGAGCAATAAGGTCTCCCCTGAGCCTTCTCTTCTCCAGGATAAACAACCCCATCTGCCTCAGCTGCTCCTCACAGGACTTGTGTTCCAGATCCTTCACCAGCCTTATTGCCCTTCTCTGGACACACTTCAACATCCCACCATGCCTCCTGAACTGGGGGCCCAGAACTGGACACAGCATTCACAGGAATCAGTGCCAAGTGCAGGAAAGGAATCACTTCCCTGGTCCTGCTGGCCACACCACTTCTGATCCAACCCCGGATGCCACTGGCTTTCTTGGCCACCTGGGCACACACTGGCTCATGCTCAGCCTGTTGCCAATGAAATGATATGCATTGAAATATTTTTGAGTGAGTTAAGTACAAAATGTTCCCCTGAGATAAGACACTGGAGAAATAAGCTTGTAGGGTCTGACTTAGAGTGGCACAGGACAGTGTATATTGCAGTGTTTGAGAGGTACCCGTTTAAAATACTCCTCACAAAAGGAAACGTGTGAATTCAGTGGGAGACATCTCATGTAACTGGGAGGAAATGTGTGGGAGAAGGGTGGGGCTGGCTCCTCTTGCTCTAGAAGAACCAAGAACCCTGCGGATTTTTTTCTTCAGGTGTCACAGATACAAAACACCTTGCAGACATGAAATGCAGGATGGATGACCCTGAGGGACACAGATTCAGGTACTTGAAATTTCTTGTGGATCATAACTGATTAGGGACTTGGATACCAAACAAGTGCTGCCACCCATTTTGGGACATGTTGGTACTCCTTATGATAGCTAAATTCTAAGCTCCAAATGCCACCCCAGCTCTTAAGTGCATCAAGAATTGTAAGGCTCTGCATGGGTACAGCCTGTGGTTGGGCAAGAAGCTTCCTATTCAAACAAACTATGCCATAGTTGTTGACAACAAATATTCAGCATCTTTCTCTGACATAATAATGGCTAGGAGGCTGATGACCTGTGTGTTTGATTTATTGGTGTGCTCTGTATTTTTAGATTTCGGAGTTTTTTCCCCTCCCCCAGTTCCACAGGTTGCTCTTCCCATGTTAGTCAGAAAAAGCGTATGGACAGACTTGTCAGTTTAACAGTCAATGTGAACAGTAATTATAGCACTAGGAACTTAAAGTATTACAAGAATTCATTTCAATAACATGTTTATTCAGTCATAACAACAACTATAAACATAAGTACCATTCAGCTCTTTGCAGATATATGAACTTACTAACATCAAATCTTTACCAGAATCACATATTCTTACAGGTGTCCCAGACACAACATTAACTTTATTAAGCAAAAGTTCATAAATAGTAAAAATGTCCTCTGTTTCACATTGCAGCGTTCCTCAAGCATGTACGTACAAGTTTGGAGTAACTTCTCCAAATCTATGTGTCATAAACTTCCTTAGCTGTTTTAACAACCATAGAGATGATTTTTTTTTGCCTGCAGCAAAGCCTTTTGTCCTTGAGCAATCTACAATTAGTATCACTCTCAGCAGACATGAAAGTTCATTTCTGAAATGAAAGTAGTGATGAAACACAATACAATATTATCTGCTCATAGCTTGCCTACACACTCTGCCCTCATTATAAATCTTTCAGTTATAACACAGTCTCCCAAGAACAATATATCTCCCTTATATCAGTTCTTTATCTGCATTACGTCTCTTTGAAGATCTTAAAATGGTTGGCCTGCAGCAATGGAGATATTATACTTAGGGTGGAGTCTGTTTACAGTCAGTTCTTTTCCTTTTTAATATTTACACAGTATTTCTTAAGGTTGCTACAATTTATGAATCATGTACATTGACATACGTTTTCTGAAATGTTCACAGTGCAGTATTTTGTGGCCTAACCAAACTTTGTAAATGTCATTAAAAATAAACTTTTTTTTAATATAAAAATAGAATACTTTATGTGTTTACACCAGCAAACCCAGTTCTATCCTATTCTAAACAAACTATACAGTAGTATGCACAGAATTCCACAGGAACAGAAATGACATGTGATGTTTGCCCTTAAGTTATAGTACTCTTCCCTAATGAATAAAAGTTTCATTTACTATCTCTTTTCAAAATTGTTTCTCTGGTCATAACTTAGCATTAAAAGTAGATAATTCACTGGGTTGTGTGATCCAAGAAGAGAGTAAAGAGGGCCTAAAGCCATTTCTTCTTTTGATCAGTCTTCTCTGCTCTTCAGGGCTGATATGAAGTAGTTACTGATATGCCTGCTTATGGTGGTGTCTTTTTAGATCAGGGCTTCCTGCAACTCCTCTGCTCCTGACTCACCTTTGCCAGTAGCTTCACCCAAGGGTAGGTAGCAGGGCTTCAGCTGCTCACCAAGTGACTCACCAGACAGCAGCCTTCAAGTTTTAATTCTCAGAGTGATTCATTGTTTATTGAAAGAAATGGAGGCTTTTCATTTTTCAGCAAGAGATCTGTTGCTATAGACTGTTTGACTCAAAGAAATGGTTGAATGTTGGAATAATGTTGACATTAGGAATGCTTTAAGCTAGATGATTTTCCTTTTGTTTTTTGTACCGTCTGACTATACCAGAGAACTGGCAAGATGCAGAATCAGAATCATAGAGTGGCCCAGGTTGGAAGGGACCTTGAAGATCATATAGATCCAGCCCCTCTGTTGTGGGTACCTTGATGAATGTTGAAAAATCCAGGGATGGGGCATCCACAACTTCTCTGGACAACCTGTTCCAGTGCATCACCACCCTCACAGTAAAGAGCTTTTCCCCCCATATCTAACTTAAACCTACTGTCTTTCAGTTTAAATTCATTCCACCTTGTTCTGTCACTACATGCCTTTGTAAATAGTCTTGTTCCGTCTTTCCTGCAAGTTCCCTTCAGGTACTGGGAGGCCACAATTAGGTCACCCCAAAGCCTTCTCTCTTCCAGGCTAAACAATCCCAATTTCCCAGCCTTTCCCCACTGGAGAGGGGCTCCAACTCTCTAATCATCATGGTTGATGATTGATGTCTTTCCTGTGATGGGGCCCCAGAGCTGGATGCAGCACTCCAGGTGGGGTCTCAGCCGAGTGGAGCAGTGGGGCAGAATCCCCTCCCTTGAGCAGCTGGCCATGCTGCTCCTGATGCAGCCCAGGATACAATTGGCTTTCTGGGCTGGGAGGGCACTTTGCCTGCTCATGTCCAGCCTCTCATGCACCCCAAGTCCTTCTTGGCAGGGCTGCTCTGGATCTGTTCCTCCCCCAGCCTGTGGTGATACAGGGGCTGCCCTGACCCAGCAGCAGCACCTTGCATTTGGTCCTGTTAAAACTCATGGCATTTCCATGAGCCCACTTCTTGAGCTTGTCCAGGTGTCTCTGGATGGCATCCCATCCTTCAATTGTGTCAACTGCACTGCTCAGCTCCGTGTCATCTGCAAATCTGCTGAGGGTGCACTCGTGCCCTTTGTCTATGTCATTAATGAAGATATTAAATAACACTGGTCCCAATGCAAACCCCTGAGGGACACCACTTGTCACTGATGGCCATTGGGACTCTGAGCCATTGACCACTATCCTCTGGAGGTGACTGTCCAGCTAATTTCTTACCCGTGGGATAAGGGGCCATGGCAAAAGCTTTACAGAAGCCCAGATAAATGATAGCTGGTAGCCCTTCCCTTGTTCACTGGTGTAGTCACTCCATCATAAAAGGCCACTAGCTGGTCAGGCAGGATTTGCCCTTGGAGAAACTGTGCTGGTGTCTTGAATCCCAGTGAAGGACCACTCTGTCCTTCATGTGCCTTCTATGAGGTTGTGTTCCATGACTTTACCAGGCACAGAGGTGAGGCTGAGAGGTTGGTAGTTCCCAGGGGTCTCTGGTCTTTATTCTCTTCTTAAAGACAGGTACACTGTTCCCCTTTTTCCAGTCACCTGTGACTTTCCCTGACTGCCATGACATTGAATATCATGGAGAGCAGCTTGGCAACTGCATCAGCCAATTCCTTCCAGACTCTGGGATACATTTCATCCCATAGACTTGTGCACATTCTGGTCCCCTGGGTGGTCATGAACCTGGTCTTTGTTTACAGTAGGAGGGGCTTTGCTCTCCCAGTCCTCATCCCGTTGTCCATCCATTCAAGAGGTGTGGGAAGAGATGTTGCCACTGAAGACTGAGGAAAGAAAGTTAAGTACCTCAGACTTCTCCTCGTCCACCAGCATTGTTTAACAGAGGGGGAACACCTTCTTTGGCTTTACTTTTCCGATTAATGTACCTGTAGAAGCCCTTTCTGTTATTCTTTGCATCCCTTGCCATGTTCAGTTCCAGTGTTGTCTTGGACTTCGTCACCCAGTGCTTACTCAATCATACTTTTCTATACTTATTTTACTGCACACCATTTCTTGATTTTGATTTCTGTTAAGAAACCATGAGGCTGGCTATCTTGGCTGCCTATGTTCTTTGAAACCTTGTTGATGTAGTTCAAAAATCCAAAGTTTGCCCCATGTGGGATGAAAATACATTTTAAACTCTTGTTATTCTCATTGCATTTCTTTTGTGTGCAAACCGTTTTTGCACTGCTCATTATCCTAAAGTACATGCACAGTAACAGTCCTTCCAGCCATACTGATTGATATTCTGCTTTCATGGCATTTGTTCTTGGGTCTGAGCACACATTAATGACAGTTTGTGGGAACCAGCTCTGGATGGTAGCACACCACATTTCCATTTGGTAAATTGATGGCGTTCTCCAAATACTCGGAAATTACTGTGTTGGTTTATGGAATCCTGTATCCTTAAACAATATGATATCGTGTCCTTGTACTAGTGCAACTTGGGCAACAACATAAACATGTGCAACAGTGTTCTCACAAAGACCAGTAGGGCAGTAAAAACTAGTGGACAAAATGTTTTGCTCTTTGTTCATACAACTAAGAATGGATTTTCCTTAATTTCAGACATACCCATCATGTGTCAACATCCATGTCTGTGTTGTCTTGTGATGATAGAAGAGAAGGATAGGGAGCAATGCTCTTCACATTGACATAAGTAGCATTGACATGAACATAGTGTTCCCCAATAAAAGTGGAGAAGATTGTTGATATTTTTGAAACAAGTTCAGAAAATGCTGGACGCATCTCAGGTTTCGGATGCCAGCACTTCAGCATGACTTCATACCTGCCATTCAAATAAAAGAAGTGTTAAATTATGAAATCACATATAAAGAAAAAAACCTCAACTCTCTTTCCTCCCACAGCCTCAGTTACTATAGTACTATAGAATCACTGGCATTTGCAGAAGCCTTTGCAAACTATTTACTTACAGTGGATCAGGGCAGTATTCAGGTTGCAGCAGCCTTCTTCCTTGTAGTAAGTAAACAGTTATATCAAAAGAATTTACATCAGGATAAGGTGGTGCCCCTCGTGTCATAAGTTCCCATAATAATACACCAAAGGACCACTAAGAAAACAAACAAATAAATAAATAAATAAATAAAAAGTTAAAGGGTTGGAGGGCTTTACATTCTTGTTTTAGAAAATGGTCTGACAGATTTAAGCATTCAAGTGCATGGGTTTTCCCTTTGAAAAGTTGTTTTACTGCATTCAGCTTTCTTTTAAGTGGACTAATAAATGCTGTAGAGACTTGAGGAGCCACTTAAATAAGAGCCAGAGAATCTCAACTAAGTAAATGAAAGAATATAAAAGCCTATAGGCCTGCTACTTTGCTGATATAAATTGGCAGACCACTTTTGAGGTTAATGGAGTTCTGCCAATTTACATGAACTGATGATCTGACTAACTCTGTGTAAATACGTGCTAAAGACAATATACATGGTGAAAATCCTATGTATCACAGGTCAGTCTGAATCTGAATTGAATGGAGAGCTAAAATACAAAGCAATCCAGCCAACTAACTTCATTGTAACTTTTTTTTCTTCAAAAATGGCCAGGTAATACTTGAGATTGCTGTAGGCAGCCAGTAATTCTTTATGAAGCAAATAAAGTATTTTGGAGAACTATTAACTTTTACGAGTCTCCAAGTTAGCCTGTTCTGTCAAGTTTCCAGAGCCCCTCCTATAGCAGGGGAGCTATAGGGGCTCCAACCTGGCTTCTTGGAATGTCCTTAGTTTCCCTTGGAACAGGGTTAAACTCTTAATTCTTTCCTGAGCAGTAAGATACAATCAGGTCAACAACTTCTTGATTAGTGATTGGGACAAATATGCTTTCTGGATGTAGAAAGAATCTTTTATTCTTATGTGAACAAAAGCTAGATTCAAATATAAGATTTGGAGTTGTTCCATTAACTAAATATTAGAAAGATGCCTCAGGCAATATAAAAGAAATAAATAGGTGATACAAATACGTTTGTACATTACCACATCTGACTTCGTTGTGAACTTCTGAGTTTGTAAACTTTCTAAAGCCATCCATTTCACTGGCAGTTTAGCTCCTGTTTTATTGTGCACACTGTAGTATTCTTTATCATAGACATCTCTAGCAAGACCAAAATCAGCAACCTTGACAGTGAATTTTTCATCCAACCTAGAGAAATGACAAAAAGTATTATTTGCAACTGAGCAGGCAAGATTTACCATGTTAGTGGATTATAATGACTGACTTGAATTTTTGAGACTGTGACTTTGGATGGCAGTACTTTATGTGGGATCTATGAACTAATGTAACATTGAAACAAAAGTGCAGCAAAGTATATTTGACACCCATTTAACACAGTGAATGAACTCAGGAAATGACTGATATTGTTTTGATTATGCAATTTGAATTACAGTTATTTTAAAACAATTGCTATGTATAAAAAGATTTTTGCTAATAGCCTGTACATCCTGATGGAGTTCTACATCATTACTTCCACAGCTGTTTTTTCTTCTGTATCCTTAAAAGTTGCTCATTTTAATTTCAAATCAATGCACCACCTTTCCTACTTAATCTCAATTTTGATAAGGAGAGATCCATCATTATCTCAGTGACTGCCTTTATGTAATAATGTAGTCCTGTAATTAAGGATGAGTTTAGTGTTTGTTCTATGAGAAAATGACAGCATAACAAAAGTTCTGTTGGGGTTACAGCTTAGCCATACCAGAAGACCTCCTTAGCTTTGCTTCTCCCAAGCTTGGTATTTGTCCTGATAAGTGGTGTCATTGTCACAAACAGAGCATGGGTGTTGGCATTTTCAAGCCTATCCTTCTTTACATGTACAGACCTGGTCACAGCAAACACTTCTTTTTGGGCTTCTTTACAGTATGACACAGTCACAGTGTGCTGTGGTTGGAAGGGGCCCCTGAAGATCATTCAGCTCACCACTATCTTCCCTGCTCAAAGCAGGGTTCCCCTACCACAGGTTGCTCGGAACCAGGTGGGTTTTGATATCTGCAAGGATAAGGACTCCACTACCTCTCTGGCAACCTGGGCCACTGTTCAGTCATCCGTACAATAAAAGCATTACTATGTTTAAATGCAATTTTCCCTATTTCAGTTTGTGCCTGCTGCCTGTCCTTGGGAACCACTTAGAAGAATCTGGCTTCCTCTTTTTTAATCCACCATATTAGGTATTTATATATATGGATAAGATCTCTTTGAACCTTCTCTAGGCTAAATGATCCTGTCTCTCTCAGTGTCTACACGTGACATTTCCCTGTCTTGAATTTTTGAGGTTTCTGTCTGGACAGCTCTGGTCTGTTGAAGTCCCAGTGCATGGGACAGAACCATCTGCTGTATTTACTGATGCTTTTACTGATGTACTGATGTAACTTGATCTGATGAAGGGAGTAGGAAGGAACTTTGATGGTTCAACAGGAAACAATTTATGCCATAGCATGTTCCTGCACCTCTTCCAGAATAGTAGAATAGAGTTAAGAGTCCCTGAGGACTATATATGCATGCTGGCTTCCTTTCTGATAGACATCACCACTGTAGCAGGGCCTATACTGAGTGTTGGATGGCAAACGGCCACTGGAGAAAGTGGGTCTTAAGGCAGCAGCTCTCCAGGCTCTGAAGTGCTTATCCATATGGAAGTACAAAAGGAGTCATTCAGTGTTCATGTGAGACATCCTGAAAGCTGCTCCTTCCTCACCCAAGGAAGAGACAGTAGGCCAAGAAGAATGTCCTGCTGCCACTATTTGGACTTTCATTAGATGAACTAGGTCTTTCGTTCAGTAACCCGATGCATTTCTTCTTAGGAAATCTGAAAATCTGCTTGTGGCTTTTTTCATCCCTTAAAAAACCCAATACCTGTAAGAAAATGTTCTTTCTCAGAGGCTATTCAGCTGCACAGGTGTGCACCCTTGAAAAAAGAATAAGATATCTGATGTCACAGGTTAATGACCTTTTTGCAGTCAGAATTCCAGTTTATGATGTACTAAAAATAAACTTTAATGTTTAAGGCTCTGCCTCATTAATTCACAACATCAGTGATAAATCAGCATAATCATATTGGCAACTCCTGTATCAGTTCGTCTTTGTGGGAACTGAACTGTCTGGCTTCCCAGACACTAGTAAGATTCTTTGAATGTTAATTTGTGTGCCTAGTTGAGCCAAAGTAAGCTCATACTCATGTAATGAAAGACTACTGTCAAGAGGTCTCACTGGTATTTCTTAGTGTTCCTGTTTTTCTCACAAAGCTCCCCTGTGCTCCTCTCCCTCCTGGATAGGTGTGGCAGCAGAGACATGCTGCTTCTGAAGAGGCTGGGTGGAAGCACAGCAAGTTGAGACAACAGCAGTTTAACTTCCCTTAGGAGATGCCTTTTAAACTCTAACCAATGATTTTGACCTCAGCTTTCTTATTTCTCACACTCAAAAAAAGCTTATGTGTAAGAAATGAGCCCTTAGCAAGATGAGTAGCTCATCATAATGCAAGAAAAACATCAATATAATTGCAGAGCAATGAAAAAACCACCATCTTGTGACAAAAAAATAGCAGAATCCTGGAAACTTCAGTTTATCCCATCTCACTGTTTTACACAGAAGAGTATCGTAATGTGGCTGAAAGTAGAAGTTTGTACTTACATACAGTTTCTCGCTGCCAAATCTCTATGGACAAACTTTTTACTTGCAAGGTATTTCATTCCTTTTGCAACCTGAAGGCCAAATCCAATTAAATCTTTTACTGTTGGATTCTGTAAAATACAAACATTTATGATAAAATGAATGCAGAAGCTTAAGGATCAGACTGCTTTATGCTGTGACTCTTTAGGTTTTACACATCTCTCCTGCCACCAGAATGATCGAGAAAGGTTGGTGCTTGTAGTGAAACTGGTTAAAGTTTACATCAACTTCTTACCCCCAGTGAGAAAACACACTATAGGAAAACGAAAGAGCTGACAGTCTCCAGAAGAGCAGAATTTGCAGCATAAGCCGCATAACCTGGCCTGGGAAGTGGAACCGTATGCTGAAACCTCAGCATCACAGATGATATACAAAATTCACATATGTGGACTTAAGAGTGACAGCATGTAACTCAGTGGAACTATGAACATAGAGCTCATCAGCTGGAGATGACCAAGAAGAAAAAGCCCTATTTGGGACAAAACAGGTGCATCAGTATGATGTCATGAAAAAGGCAAATGAGACCTTAGCAGCTACCAGAGAAAGATTTTTGGCAATGATTGTTAACTCTTTCTGCTTGCCTACATGGTGATACTCAAAATGTTAAATATCAAAGTAAATATAAACATAAACCTGTAAATCTTTTATGGCAATCATATGACTTGTTATGTAACAGTAAGGATCCTACAGTTTTTTGTGGTTTTGACATTGCTCGTTATAATTTTCTTCTGTGGAACAATCTGATTCAACTGTGGTCATTCTATTTATTTCAGAAAGGACTGTGGCACTATTTGCAAACAACGGCCCTAGTGCTTGTAGAATGAAAGGAGCTGAAATGGGAGCAGGTCCTGGACTCAGAAAGCCAAACTCCTCCAAAAATTTCTCGAAATGCATTTTTTTAAAAATGATGCTGGGTATTGCTGATTGCCATAAAAGCAAGGACAAAATCCTATTGGCTCAGAAGTCACTTTGTATTGTCCTAACACTGTGAAATAGATGAAATACTGCAGTGCAAAGCATAAATGCTTACACTGCCTGAGATAAGATCTGCAGTCTCCTCCTTGGGAGAAAGCAGTGAGGCACATTTGAGGAATCTACAGTCTTTCAATGAAAATGGGGAAGATTGCTGATAAGAGAGTACTCATAGTTTATGTAACAGTTCCCGCTTTTCCTTCTTAAGATAGGAAGAAAAAATATTGATAATAAACGGACTGTGACACTAGCGGGATATGGAGTTCCTTTACCTAGGAGCTGGAAGAGCAGATGTTGACGACTGGCTCAGCTGTGCTAAAGTCAACAGAGATGTGCCAGTTTAACCAGCAGATGATTGGGCCCCTGGACGCAGGTCTCATAAATGCATTTGTTTATAAAGAGGCTTATGGATGGGAAATGAGAAATACTTATTGCTGATAATTTCTGGGAAACATTCTAGAGAGGAATTAGAGGGGGAAGGGAAGGCGTGGCAGTGCTGTGGCTGGGCTTGATGCCAGACCAAGCAAGTGCTAAAGGTTAAGGTGTAGTAAGAGCAGCAAGTCGCAGACGTAATGTAATTATGAGAGCTTGTGATGTGTGGTGTTGGAGCAGGGCGTGGCCAGACTCGCATCACCACTTCTACCTCACCAGGTACTTACGTGAGTCTCATTCCTAATGAAGTTTCGAAGATCTCCATGTTTCATGTATGGAAGAACAACTAATGGGGATCCTTCATTGGGCAAACAGATTCCCAAGAGTGACAGAACATTGGGATGAGTGAAATCTTTCATGATTATTCCTTCTTTCAGAAACTGCGCTACTTCTTCCAGGTCTGTAATCCCTGAGAAATCCAGTAATAAAAGGAGTTAATTAAAAGAAACAGAAACAAACTAGGGTTCATTTCTCTACAACATGTCATTGCACAACAAAGTGATAATGAGAGACTACAAACATGCTCTCCACCTCCCACATTGCAACCAGGTTATGTGCATTGGTTTTCCTACAATGACCAAATATAGGCTGATGGTGATTTTAATTCTGTTTCTCCATTTCTTATTTTGAATCATTTAAAATTGAATAACAACACTTGAGTAAAGTCCTTAATAAATGTTGTTATACTATCTTCCTGTTTTTCCAGCAGCTTTGCCCACTCTTCAGCAATTTAACTTCCAAACCCAAATCTTCAGGACTCAGTAGAATAAAAAATGATGCTACCTTTCCCTTATTTTCCAGTGTTCTTTTCCTTGTAGAGGAAATATATGGACATTTTATTTGATGTAAAAATATATGCCAATGTGTTCTGGTAATCTGAAGTAACTGGAATTGCTCCAAAGATAAATCTGATTCAGCTGCAACTAAGAATCTTTGTTTCTGAATGTATACTTCACTGGAATTTATTGGTTCACCCCAGTTATCTTTGGAATTAATAGTAATGTCTCACTATTAAACATGTAACTCACTATTCAGTGACTTCACAGCACAATGAATTTTCCTGCTATCATTATCCAGCAATGTCCCATGGTACACACAGCCAAAATGTCCTGTGTAAAAAAGTAAGCAATATTAGCTTTAAGAAGTAAAATTAGCTTTCTGGTATTTTCTACTGGGTAGCAATTATACTGTAAGTTAGTGATCACACTCCATTTCTGTCCAATTCCCAACACTTGTAATATATACTTCCTAACTAACATATTAAAATTAATGGAATTGGACCATTACATAAAACCACCATTCATAAAATCGCCATTACATAAAACCACCACTGCATAAAATGAAAACTCTATTTGCAGCATAATTGGTATTTCTTGACCTAAATGGAGAGTATAAATAATGACTAAGCTGGCGCCACAAATATTTCATTTTCCTGTAATGACTATGCACACAAAACCCATGTCAGCCCATTCCCACCATCTTCTCCTGTGACACAGGTGTTGAAGGAGGACACCTGGAAGGCACAGGGAGCAGTTAGGAGCTGACATGACCACTGGATTGGTGGTTCCCAGTGATCTGCAAGCCCGTGCTAAGTGGTCCACTGGACTGTACAAACTTGATGCATCTGATGGAAAGGACAGCCACTCTGGGATTACAGTCGCTCAGGTCTTGCTATTCCATGGAAAATGTTGAATGTTAAAAGTGATGTGTTGGCCGTGGATGGTTTGGGAGTTGCTCTACTGATCACAGACTGATGACACCACTTGGCAGTTTTTTCTACGGCTTAGTTCCAAGTATAAAATATCACTAAAAGATGCTGAACAAAATTTGCCTTCTTTCTCATAGTCTAAGCAGTGAAATGAACTGCCAGGGACACAGAAATCCTGTGCTTTCTTGCTAAGCAAACGATGTTGTCTACCAAAACTTCCTATAAGAAGTCAGGTTTACCAGTTTAGGAAACAGTGAAGTTTGAGCTCCAGGCTCATGCATTAATTTCTCTAAATCAAACTATCTACGTGCAGTTGTAGCTTTCTTTCACAGATGAACTCTTTACTGGACACTTTAAAAATACTAATATTTGCAGTTAGAAAGCAAACTATTTTTTTCTTAAGTGTGAGTTCTACAGAGAACAAGACTATCTGATTAATTTTACTACATTCCAGTCATAAGCTCTGGTCAGAGCTCAGTTGGCGTTGCTTTTGGCTTGAGGTAAAATTAATCCAAAGTTTGTTTTATAAAAGCAACTAAAAATCCCATCAGACCACAGATCCGAAAGCTTGGATTGGGTGTGTCTAAAATATTTTAGGGTTTGGCCCATTTCTGGTTAGAAAGGAGAAAATTTAAAGTGGTTAATTATCTTTGTGTCATTCCAGATATTTTTCAACATTTAAAAAATGGGAAATTACTTGGAGTTTTCCAAAACAAAAAAGAAAAGAAAAAGGCCCACCCTTGCTTTGGGGATGATGAAGTGTAATACATAGAAGTAAAACACACTGACTGTTTGTCTGATTTGTGGCTCTTATCGTGCAGAAGAGTCATTAAGAATATAATTTATAGCCAATTTTTATCAGTATTCTGATACTCAACAAGAGACCTCTCATGCACGATCTGTAAAACTGAAAATCCAGTTTGTATTCTGGTTACTAATAGGTACTAAATCATACAGAGTTTAAAAATGTCCCTAACAGAAATACTGCCTTGGGCTATGAAAGGTGAAGGGAACTTGCTTATGAAGATGTAGAGGAATAGGAGTGATGAGAGAAATTTAGAAAAATAGGAGACTTTCTAAATCAGGGACAAAACTAAGGGGAAGGGAATCAGGAGCTGCATATTTCTGCAGCTGGCATGAGAGGAATGAGGTGATATGAAGAGCATTTGCTGGGAGGAAACAAGCAGCAAATTCCTCAGAGCTCGTGGAAACTTGAGGAGGGAAAAGGAGTGTGGGCATTTCACCTGGGCCACGGGGACTTTTACTGCATACTCTAATGGCTGCAGGAGTCTCCTGTGTCACCCAAGTTTAAGGTCACTTGTGTTTCTGCCTCGGCATCCCCTGACTTGCAGGTGTGTGCCTTAGGTTTCACATAATGTTCTGCAGCGGATTCACTCCCATACCACAGCCTCATGGATCAGAAGCCCTGGCTGAGCTTTCTGTAGCCTGGAAAAGGGTGAGAGTGAGGCAGTTGGAAGGGGACCAGCAAATCCATGGGTTCCAAAGAGCCTCATTAGCTGGCAGTCTCCTTCCTCCTGATGGTGTCTTCTCCAAATGATCATATGCACTGACTTTAAAGGAAAGGCCCTTCATTCCCCCTTGATTCAGTGCATAGCATGCAATGCTATAAGAGCTAAAGAGCTTGATAAAAATCTCTGTGTAGACACCTTATTCAGAATGGTTTATAATGAGTAGGTGTGCAAAAAAAGGAGCAGTTTGCAATATAAGAGTTGCAGTACCCACCTCTTCCTATTACTTCACTGAAGTGCACAATCAGACTGTCAGCACCAATAACCACATGCTGCACTTCTTTGACCAGGTCAGGATTTAAGGCACTGATGTCAATGTGGACATTAGTTTGGAGAAGTGGACTGGCTAAATCTGAGTCTCCACTAGACAGAATTGGGGAGAGGTCAGAGTGAGGATACTGGGCAGGTCTGCATGATCCATTCTGAGACATGCTTGGAAACTGATCTGCAAAATGAACAGAAACTGTTATAATCCTTTCAAACTTCTCCTTGAAAAATGAAGAGTTTTATTGCATTGGTAAGCAAGGTTTGATTTTATCAGTTTGGAAGTGGCTTGGCTTTACGGAAGTTTTGGTCACAAAGGGAGAATGAAAATATGCATTGGTAATCTGCCAACCTCCAGGAAAACCATGTCACTAGAAACTTATGCTTGTCTCAGCTCTACTTTTATGAAAGTAAAAGGCAAAACTTCCACTTTTCTGAGGGGATGGAATGAAGCCTTGTCACTTCTGGCCAAATAGAGGTTATAGCATTTCTAGCAATTGGGAGTAACAAGAGCAAAACAGAAAAATGACAGCAATATGGGCGGAGGAGGTAGTGAACAATTAAAAACACAAAGCTTTTTATTATTGTCATGTTCTAATTTGGTAGGGAACTTTACACTTCACGAAGGTTCCCAAAGTGCTGGTGACTAGCTATATTTATCCAATAGTAAATATTCAACCAGGGAAATGCCTAGAGGTGATTCATTTCCTGTAGCTGCTGAAGATAATACAGTTGGTGCTACTCATGAAAATAACATGAGCCATCTGATATAGTAGAAACTAAAATATTTCAGTAAATCCAGGAGTATCTATCTGAGATTTTTTTTTTATCAACAGCATGTTGTTCAGGTATTTCAAATTGGTTTTGTTTAAAACCTCTTTCCTAGCATTTTGTGTGACTGAATGAAAGAACTATGTTTAGTTTATACCAATTTCAGTCCGGAATGATTTCAGTGTAGTCAGTGAGCTGAATTTAGCCCAGGGTCAAAAACAAAAAAAGGGGAGTAAATTTACCAACAGAAATTATCAGGTATCTTATTACAAAAAGTAAGAAGTATTGTACAGATATGCTTTATTTATTTCTGCATAAAACCTGTGAAATTTTTGTAAAGTGTTTTTATCACTCTAGGTGCTGAGAAATACTCTGTTATTTTATCTAGGAGCAAAAATACCAACTCCTACAATTTACAAATTAGTTTATTTGTAACTAAGGGCAAATATCTATTTAATAAACACAGTAAAATAATCTAGCAATGGCTGAAAAATAATTTTTGCAGCTGCTAAATGTAAACCTGCATGTTTTCTAATGTTTCTTTTATTTTATTCTTTGATAATATTGACATCGACGTTGCAAACATTAGATGAACACATGCCCTTCTTGGATGCACTCTCCACTGTGCTTTGCCAGTACACAGTGGCTGCATGACCACAGTGGATTTACCTTCCACCAAGGATCTTTCCATAGTTTTGTCTCATGTACCACTTTCCCATCTAACCAGTGGCACAGGCTTTCCTTTCCCTTTGGAAATTTTTCAATCAAGAAACTTCCTGTACGAGCTGGTGGCAGCAATTAACGAATAATAGGGGAAGCTGGGAGCAGGCCTGTGTCTCAGATAGCTCTGTGACTGGGGCTTACAAATGCAGAATAAAGATTTGGAGTCATTTCTATTAGAGTGTTGTACACAGCAGCACCTGAAATAGCACAATACTATTTCTACACCAAGACTAACAAATATCTGTGATATCTCACACACCATAATGTGCTAACTCCTAATAGATAAAGGCTCTTTAATGGTAATCACAGAACACGGTCTCCACAGGTGTTAAAGGAGCCTAGTGTGGTATTATAAGTGTAGCAGACTGCTCTTCTGAAGAATACCCACTTTAAAATCTTACTATACAGCACAAAAATATATTTGGCATAGGATTATTCTTCCCTGAGACTGGTGTAACAGTGCACATGGACCTCCATTCAATTTGTCACAGTCTTCATATCCTTTTAGCTTAATTTTTAAAATTAACATTTCTGCATTATTCAACATCCCATTTTACAGGAGGGGCATTAACAGACAGAAGAGTATCAGTTTACAAGTCTCCATGTCCCATGTTGGGCCAACACAACTGCTTTATTTTAACTGTAGGAAGTCACTGAGACACACCAAACCTACAGCCACTTGATGCTATCATTAAAATCAGTCCTTTCAGAGTGGATTTGCACATGGCGTGATGGATCTTATGACAAGACAGAATCACTATATACACTAGCTCCTAATAACTTGTGAAGCATAGTTATAGAATTTTTACTAATTGTATTTTATTTATTCCTTCAACCTGAGTAAAAATCCTTTGCACCTTAATCTTGGGAAGCACCTGAGAAGCTCAGTTAAAATAGTAAGCCTGTGAACACGTGAGAGTCCCAAAACTGCAGACACAGACAAATCAGATGAGAAATTGAAATTAGGATACTGATCAAAATAGCTATAATCTAAAGACATGTGAAAATCAAGATGTGTAAAATATTGTCCACATTGATTTGTAATAGAGGCATACCTTCTAGAAAAGTTGATCTGTAGTCCACAGATTCACTTGAAACCATTTCTGTTGTTGGACTTACACTCCTTGCACTCACCAGCCTGTCCAGGTGAGGAGTGTGCACTCTGCCATCATAACGAACTAGGTCACTTCCCAGATCTGAAGGGGGAGGAGAAAGCAATATTAGAAAACCCTCATGTTTTTGGCATGCCAATGTTGAATTATCTATTTATTTAAATTTAGATGTTCTGCTCTGCTGGGAAGAGGGTCAAATTGTTGCTGTGGCAGACGTGCACGACTTGAGCTATTTGTATAGTGCAAGATTTTCTGCAAAAAAATCTTGTGTTGAAGACCCACTCTTAGCCACACTGGAAGATCAAAGACAGCTTTGAAGACTCTAGGGCCAGCTTCGTGGTCTGACTGTGATAGAGCATCAGGACAAGACTTGGTGATACACTAGCTGCCCTCCTCCTCCCACCTTACGTAGTGTGGCAGCTCCCACTGGAAGGAAACCCAGACACAGGGGCCAGAGAAGAACCAGAGTCTGAACGAGTTCCTGATTTGGGATAAAAAGAGACCAGGAGACTGAAGTGCTCTGTGTCTTGCACAACTCAGGCACAGCCTGGAGGAATGCAAGGCAACTGGATGAAGCTGAAGTACTCATGATTCCATGAATGTTGTTTACTCATCCCCTCTTCCAAAGCTGATTAGGGAAAAGAAGTTACTAAGTTTTCCTAATAGCTCAGAGTTCCTCAGAAATCCTTCTGCTTAAGGCATAATGTGGCCCTTTACCCAGCTCAGTCTCTTGCCAAGCACTGATATGCAACTAAACATTGGAACTTGATTGTGAAACCTCTGCTGACAGGTTACAACAGGGCAATGCATGGCAGTTAAGTAAAGCATAAAATTATGTCAGTTTTTAAAATCTAAGGTAATAATGGAATTATTTGATGGGATTGACTATGACAGACCTTTAATTTGTTTTTTCTTCCTTCTCCAGAAGAAAATCGCCAAAAAGATAAAAATTAAGATTGATGTTGAAAGAATTCCAGCAATTAGTCCTGTGAAATTCTGATCTTGCCGGATCAGCACTTTTCCGATAACTGTTGACAAAACTTCTTGCTTCCACTGAAACAACAAAGAAAAAAAAATACTGTAATGATTTCCAAAGACAAGTAAGAACTAGATTATTAGTACTAAAGTATGAGCTGAATGTCTCGTATGTATTAAATCTTGATTTTGTGACACTGTACTGAGATGAGGCACCGTGAATGGAGAAGTTGTTATATTGGTGTACATGAAAACCTGTATTTGATACACAGCATGCACTCACATTCACTCAGGATAACTGGGTTCCACTGTTACCAGATGCTAATTCAAAATGTGAAAATCGTACTTTTACTCATATGGTACAAGGAATGGACCAAGGGCCTTAGGGGCTGAGATGTACATTGAAAAAAAATGGCCCAACTGTCTTTAATGTGTGTCCCTCTGGCACAAATACGCTGTAGCATCAAACTCACTCTCTTGTTGACAGCGTGCTTGCATTTTAGTTCCCAAGGTCACGTGAGCCTGTCCCTTGCCAGCTTCTAGCTTGCTGACAGTTTAAACAAACAAAACAAAACCAAAAAACCAAGCCCAAAAACCAACAACCAAACTAACACCAAGCAGCTAAAAGGGACAAACGGTTTTAGGTCACACAGCACTAGCTCAGTCAGTTGGAATGCATTTGGCCATCTTTTCTCTTCCTCCTGTGGAATTCATCCCTCTGGGTACTGTAATGATGGATTTGCCCGTCAAAAGAGCAAATTTTCTTCTTCACTGGGCAGACTACAATTTCTGAGTCTCTTTGCCAGTAAACAAGTAGAAACCTTATTTAACCCCTTTATGTTTTGTTCTTTTCTGTGCATGAAACATGGCACACATATCTGTTTCTTAGAGGTTAAGAAAATATCACATAGTAGAACTAATTCAATGCAATGTTAGTCCTGGGTGCGTATGTAAAAAATACAATATATTAACTGGATGCAAATTGTGCACAAGTATTATATGAAACTAGGCACTCAGAAGTCTGGGACACCTACACCAAAAAGAGAGCTGCATCTAATTTTATAGTTTGCCTGATGTATCCAAGAAAATTAATACTTACTTCAAAAAATAAATTAATATTAAAATAAATTACTAGTTACCATATTAATAAATCAGATTAGTTATTACTATTTACTTAGATTGCAGTAGCACATAGGGATATCATTCAAAGCCCAGGATCCTATGAGATAAATGTTATAAAGACATAGAAAAAATAGATGTCCTTGCTTCAAAGAGCTCACATAGACTTTGATCCTAGCCACACTTACATGACCAGCAAAGTCTCCACTGTTTTCAGTGAATCAGAGTGCAGTTTCATAGTTTAAAGGTAATCCCATTCCAATTTCCTTTTTTTCCATATATTTAGAAAAATACAAATGTATTTATGATTTATTTTTTATCTTTTAAAAATATTTATGTCTTATTCTGTAATACAGTATGTCTACAATTTAAATTTGCAGTAGCACACTGAATGACTCTAATGAGACCACCTTTAAAGCAATGACTCAATCATTTGTCCTAAGTGTCTTCTTCTTACAAGAAGAATTGAAATTAAACTATAAAATGCAGACCAAAAAAAAAATATTTCAGGAAAGATTTGATCTTCTTGACTGCAGCAGAATGTTTTGTTGAAAAAAGGGCTGTGAATTCCAACTAAAACTACTCCATTATAGCTTCTTATTCTTCCCCACGTTTCCTTTTGTGTTTGGATTAATAGCTATAATTTTATTTCTGTGCTTAGTTCAGGTCCTACTTTGTGCCTAAGGCTCCAGAAAGTCTCTGTACAAACAGGTAGTAACACCAATGATGACCACATTTATTTTTAAACAGCTGATATTATTTGAATTTCCATCCCAAACAAACAGGGATAGAGATAGGTCTGTAAGCACAGGCTTAGGCTTGAATTTTATTTAGGCTTAAAGTTTATTGGTTCAATAGTGACACTGTGAATAACAATAAAAATGGCATTAATATCTCATGTGTGGTGTAGTTGCCTCACCTCTATATTTAGCTCACTGTTGGATTTCAGGAGATCGCTGGGAACCGTACACAGAATTGATTCTGACTGCAGGAGAAGGTTTTCGCAGCTTTTATTTCCAACTTTTAGCACCTCACCTTTGACAGCTTCTGAATCAATATAATTTCCCTTGGGAAAAAAAAAATCAATTTCATATTACATAACCATCTCATAAAACTTAAGTAGTTACAAGCTTGGAAAATATTTTTAATGAAAAATAAATTGTGAAATAAAAGACTAATGAGAATTTACACTGTCCTGTCAATATGCATGTATAGGCTTATTTCATGTAAATGCGACTTTGACAGACAGGCCAGCGTAGGATGGTAGACTTTTCAGATAAAATCTACTGTCATTCATACAGCTCATACAGACTTATGAAATTGTAAATGTCTGAGGGATTAATCCTGTTGGTCCTGTTAAGACTTTTGCATAATTTGTTCAAGAAATGACACATTATGTAACGCTGTTGTGGACACAAAACTGGCATTATATTATCCACAAGCTAAAGGCACCGCAAACATTTTGTTTTGCAAGTGGCTATGGTAGCAGAAGTTTTCAAAAAGAAGTAATTAATTATAATAATACACAAGTCTGTTAAAATCATGTTCCACAGACCAAAAAGGAAAAAAAACCTTAGTCAAGATGAGGCATGAAAAGTACACTTCTTACCCAGAAAACCTGCTCTCACATCCCAGACTTGAATGAAAAATCATTCCTTCTGATATTGTGACAGTAGAATCCAAAGGCCAAGTTTAGGATCTTTTATGCTCAGGAGTGCATCTCTATTTAAGAAGCTGCCCTAGCCCATGTACAGCCCAGCTCAGGATGAAAGAAGAGGCATATTAAATAGGATTAGAAGGGGAGAAGGGAGTATGGGACTAATACAGGCTATTTATATGGGCTGGATCTGGAAGTTTTCCATGAGAAGAGAGGAAGGCATCACAGCTGACACCACTGTGAAGCTTTGTATATTGGAAAGGAAACAAGAATCCCATTCCGAGGGGCAAAAATATTCTAACTTTGGCATATGTTTTAGATCTGCTTCAGAATGAGACTGAACCCTGGGAAAATTGTAATAAACGTATAGGAGAGCCAGTTTAATGTCCTATTTTGATGGCAAAGCCACACTCCAGGTAAATGCTTTTTAATTGCTGGCCATAAAAGTCCACTTTGCACTTTATCTTCTGTCTAGTTAAAGCCATTCTGTTTGGCGTTAAGTAAGAAAATATTCCTGGGCCAGGGAGAATATGAATGCTAGTGCTTATTAGTAGAGAGACTTGTGGCAGATTGTGAACCATTAAAATCTTCCCTCTGAATGATGTACCTCAAAAGACTTGAATTTAATTCTTCCATCTTCAGGATAAATATATTATATATAGAGTGTAGTTGAGTGGTCTCTTCTTCTACACCAAAGCCTAGAATTTTTTCTCCAAAACCGTTGGAAAAAAAAAATCATACTGATATTTCCTAAGGTGGTTTTTAGCCAATTATAAAGGTGCTAGCTTTTACTTACTATGACCGGTACATTACCATTAATATATTATATTTTCAAATATATTCATGATGATATCTAAATACATCTTTCACTATATATCTATAACCACTTTCAGCAGTGGTTTTGCTCTTCTTGGACAACAGAATTTCCCTACCATTTTAAGAAAAGGGGGAAACTGGCTCCTGTGAAAACTGGAAAAAATATTTCCTCTTTCCAAATGTGTATTACCCCCTTCTTGATGAGCAATGCCCTTGAATGCAAGCTGGAGAAGTTAATCTTCAAGCTGTACTGGGTAGCTGTTGCAACTCAATCTGATAGCATGGCCACCTCACAACTTTAGATAAATGGGAATAACTTGGGAAAAGTCTAAAAGCAGCAGAAGAACAGTAAACTAATTAAGGTGTGGAAATTCTGAGACTGGTGTCAGAAGCATTTTTGAAGCTCCTAAGCATAGTGAGCAGGTTGACTTTGGCAGAATGAGGAATTACTGTAGCTGCAGAGGTTCCTCTTCAACTTGCTTAAAAATACCACAGTTTCTATATTGCTCTCTTTTGCACCAGGTTTTGAGAGTAGGAATTTCCTATGCGATGTCAAGGATTGACAATAGAATGACCTATAAACAGGCAAGAAGATTTCCTTAAGATTGTCTCATAAAGAATGTGTAGCATGGCTTAAGAATAGAATAGCAATTTATTAAGTCTTATCCTACTCTGAGTTTTAAGACAGAACTGCCAGAGCACAGCCAAGATCTCAGATGTGCTGTATAGTATGCCAGTTGTTACACATTGAATTACAACTGTGCTATGTATTTCTCCAGTGGAAGATTTATATTTGAAAATATACTTAATAGTGCACAATCACAACCCCAGAACAGACCAGGCCTCTGGGCTAACTGAAGAAAGATGCTTTTCTTATATATTTGTTGCTTAGTTTTGTTTTTTAATTTTTTTTTTCACAGCTAGGATGCTCTGGGCTGTCAGCAGCCCAGCTTGCAGGTCTGGATCAGTGGCTTCTGGGAGAGGCAGCAAGTGGATTCTCTCCTTTTCAGCAGACTCAGCAGTGAAACACCAGAATTTCTCCTGCCCTGACAGCTTTCCATGTGGCAGGAGATGGGAGCACTTCTGAAGTGGTGTCTTCGTGGTGTTGAAGCAGAGCATTGTCTAGTGCCACTCTATCATGACCCTTCTGACTGGCATGGTGGGCACCAAGAGACTTGAAAGAGCCACATACTTGGCAGAGGAAGACAGTGATGGTGTGGGATGTTGAGAAGCTGGCACTGAAGAAAAGGAGGATGGCATTTGTGGCACACAGTGCCCTGAGTGTGTTTTAAATAGAAAACCCAATGTTTTATTGTGTATAACATTTTCTTACAAAAACATCTTGTGGTCATCAGGGGAAACCAAACAGAACATTTCAATCGGTACCCACTGTCATTTGATGAAAGCCAAATATGTCACACTAGATTAGTTAGATTGAAAAACTTGTGATAAAAGCTCCCTCCGCCCCTCTGAAACTAATTAAGAAAGAGATAAAAGAACTTTGGTTTGGTAGAACAGACTGTTCACTGAAGCAAGCTGCCATTTAATTTCATGCTGAGCTTGCTTAATTACTGCACACACAAAATATGATCATGAGGCATGTAAACTTGTGTGTATTTTTGAGTGGGGGTACAGGGCAAAGGAAAAGTGTTGCCAATATGGCTTGTAATGCTCTTTTGGCTCCTGACTATAATTTATGGAAGTTGTCTCACTGTTTTGATAGAAGCACCCCACTATAACTAATTCTATTTAGAGGAAGATGTTAAATTGGTGTCTGTTCATGCTTCGTTCTAAGAGACCAGCTTTCACTAGTGCTGTTCTCCAGCTGGTTGTCAAGAAACAACCAGAACTTTAGGCTTAGGGAGACATCTGCCTTGGGTGCCATCACTCCAGGCCAATACTACAAAATTGTGCCTTTGGTCAGTTGTCACTATCACAATCCTCAGTCAGCCTTTCTTATCTAGTATTTTTCTCCAGCAATAAACAGCATCAGAGACTTCTTCAGGGAGAACAAAAAAGTAAACAAAATAGAGAGTTAAAAAACTTTTTTGACCCTCAGTGTCTCTGAAGATTATACAGATGGATGCACTTCCAGGCAGAGGACGAACAAGAACATGATTGGGAACAGTCAGCACAGGTTTCCCAAGAGTGTGTTTTGCCTGACCAACCTTCTATGCAGACAGGACTGGCACTCTCGATGAAAGGAGAGCATTGGACTAGTGGACCTTGGTTTTAGCAAATTTTGCAACACGATTTCTCCTAGCAATAAAAAAAACTTAGGATGGCATGGGCTGGATGGATAGTAGATAAAAGTAAAGAAGTGAAAAACAGATTGGACAGAGATAAAATCTTCATTTGTCAATGGCTGATAGTGGGACCAATACTACTTTTTGACAGCTTGGACAAAGGGATAGGATGCACTGTCTTTGAGCTTTCAGATGATATCAGACTTAGGAAAATTACTGATATACTGGACCATAATGTGAAATTAGGCAGCAGTATGCCACTTTTGTGATGAAGGCTCAGGACACATTTTAGCAGCAGCAAAGTCAGCAGATTGAAGGTGATTGTTCTTCTCTGGTCAGCACTTGTGGAGCCACACCTTTAGAACAGTGTCAAGTCTTGAGCCCCACAGAAAAGGAGAGGTACTGACAAACTGGATGAAGTACAAAAGAGGGTCACTGAGCTAGGAGGGGATCTCAAGCATAAGACACACAATGCAAGGCTAGTGGAGCGGAGTGTTTTAAAGCTGTAGAATCTCCATTCTTGGATATTTTCAAAACTCATTTACACAAAGCCATAGGCAGCCTGACCTAATTTTTAATTTTGCTGTGCTTTGAGCAATGGGGTTAGACTATCAAGACCTCCAGAGGTTCCTTCCAATCTACATTATTCTGAAATTTTTCCCAAATTAGTCCTCTTTCCAACTGGTTGATATGCATGACCTGGAAAATACTGGAAAACACTACTGTCATTGCACAGAAGCACTGAGCCATGCAGCAGCTATATATTCCCAGATCTCTGCTGACCTGCACACCAGAACTCTTTCTAGCGTTTCTCCATAACTGAACAAGAGATGTGCTCCACATTGAGGAAAAAGTGATTGTATGGCTAAGAGCTCCAAGTAGAAAAAAGTAAAAGTAAAAAAAAAAGTAAAAATCAGACCAATTATTCTTTTGTATTTGCCTAAAACACTTTGCAGAGATGGATTAGTATTCAGAGTTTAACTGGAACTCAGCATGGCTGATAGGAACTCTGAAGTAATCCTTCTGATGTCTTGCAGCCCAGAAGTTGGCCCACTGGGCCATCTTGGAATCAAAGACCTTAGGGCTTCAAGATTTCTTCATTGTGATGGGAGAGAAGTTTTGGTTTACAGAGCTGTGCAGGAGTGACACAAAGAGGTGACCTAAGTATTAAGATTGATTGTCTTCCATAAAACATTTTTATCAATTATATTTTATATAAATTATAGATATCTATGTAAATATCATATAAACACCAATAAATTTTAATAAACTAGAAATAATAATATTTATACCTTTTCTGTTTAATACTCAGAAAAAAACTAGACTTCAGGAAATTGGACTCATGCAGAATAGATTTAACTTTCTCCGCAGCACTGTAGTAGAGAGCGACCTGTGCTATTGAGGGCCCCAAATTCCTAAGAGATGCTTCTCAGTGCTGTGTAGACTATTCTCAGTGCACTTTGAAGAGGCATTCAGCATCAACTTTGCATTTTTTATGTATCCATAAATATTTAGGCTACAGCAGTGACTGATCCTCATGAGTGACTTTGTGCACAGGCCAGAGTTTCCCTCAGCTCAGAAGGACTGAAGAAGCCAGAGCACATCTTTTGTGAGGAAGGACACAAAGGCATGTGACAGTAAGAGCCAGGGCTCGTGCACAGACCACATACTTCAGGTTCTGGGCTGCTGGCCATGTTTAACCCTGAACTGCTGGAGCAGCTTATTGTAATCAGAAGCTGATGCAGTGTGGTCCTCCCATGAGGACAAGGAAAACCCCTCTCCCACTTCCCCTGATGACAACAATCACCACGGTACATACATCTTTGTTTTCACCTCTGCGTCTTTTAAATGTGGTGACAACTGGGCTTGGGTGAATGCAGTACTGAACACAGTGCTCTCTCTGCCCTCGCTTTCTTGGGGCTTCCTTTATTTCATCAGAATATCTGCTCCACGCTCGGCTGCTGATGTGCGCTTGCGAATAATTGAAAAACTTATTTCAGCATTTCTTACCTTAATTTCCAGAACATTTTGGTTGCCTCTTGAGATGAACACTGTCTTTTCAAAATGCTTAAATACAGGGTTATTTACGTAATCAAAATCAAAGTACAGGGAGCTGACACCATCAAAAATAAAGAACACTTTGGTTACAAAGGGTGGTTGGAGGTTGAAAGCTTTCAGTGAAGGTGTTGTACAGCAGATTATCTCTGAGCTAGAGCGGTGGCTGCATGCCTATAAGAAAAAGAAAGAGGTAATTGCAGTATGTACATGCATAGGAAGTCACTGATTAATGCAACTTTCTTTAACAATACACATATATTGAAAAAATAAACAGCAAGGGTCTTGTTCTTCTTTAACCAAAGCAAAATCCTGACCAGTGCTACACAGCTTTTATGTAGAGCTGGGAGAAAAGTATAAAAACTTCATGTCAATGGTGTTTGCACTCGTGTTGAGGAAATGTTCAAGTAAACAAGCTTCCTGGCTTGATTGTTCACAGCACTTTTAAAGTAAATATTTTGCAGATAATTAATGGAAAATTATTTCCAAAGCCAAGGACCATCAGGAGGCTAGCCTGGTGTACTGAGCAGCCATAGCTCAGCTTGCCCAGACTGTCACAGTGACTGCAACAGGGATTTCCCTTTCTTTTTCACTACCAAAGCAATCTTCATTACGAAGATAAGGGACCAGAGGACAAGGTAAAAGCCAACAATGCTAACTGGAACCGTGGAAAACAGAAGTAAAGCACTGTTTACCCACAGTCTAACTAAGTTTCCGTGTTTCCAGAAAGGCACTGTTGACTCTGAGAAAGGGCTTTAGAGCCAAAGCCACCGTGGATTCTGGGCCACAAAAGCTAGCAAAGTGTGTCTGCTTTCTAAAAATGCTTGCTTAAGCCCTCAGATGTGAGGCACCTGGTGCCTAGGTAGGCAGCCGTGCAAGCTCCTGCTGCGAGTGTTGAGAGTGGGACGAGCTTTGCACGGCATCCCGGAGCAGCAGGGTGAGATGCTTGTCCCTGCTGCAGCACAGCAGCTGCCCGACAACAGGCACGAAGCCACGCTCGCCCCTCACTCTGCCTCTTCCTCACGACAGCCTGCCCTGGGGGAAAGCTGCTGCTGTACCCCATGATCAAAGACCTTCCAGAGGGTGCTCTGTGCCATGGGGACGTGACCCAGTACAAAGTGCAGGACTCGTCTGAACTGCCTTTGCAGAGGGACAGAGCTCGTCTAGAGTGGGTTTCATCGGATCCACTATAGACAACAATCTAATCTTTTATTAGATTAATGGTGCTCTAGAAGTGCCAACTTTGTCTAGACTGTGAAGGTTTCTACAGGAGTCCTTTGCTTATAATGTCAACAGCACATTCACAAACACCAGTGGGAGGCACAGTGTGTGCCGGACGGCACCACAGGAACTGCAGAGGGGTTGGTTTGTCATTGTACCCTGTACTCCCTTCCCTGTGCCTGCCCTGCACGCTGCCTAACAACGACGTGGTTGGACGACTTCAGGCACAGAGTTGCTGCAGCTCCACAGAAGTATTTCTCTTCCAACACTACAAACCTTCTGTAAGTAGTTCCTTGTGCACTGTGCCCTGAGAGCAGATCAAACTTGTAAATTTTTAAAAAAACATAAAAGAGCGTATCTGACATGTGTCCCAAAAGAATGGAGCTAAGTTGCTTATTAAAAATCTTACATTTATTCTACAAGAGTTTTTCTTGGAAGATCAACAATACTCTAGAATACCTTTGTGCATCCAGAGAAGGCCAAAATATATATTTTTCTGTTTTGTTTTTCAAAATAAATTTGTTCTCATTATCAAATGCTGCCTGAAGGAGCTTTGCAATTAGTTTAAATTAATGCAATGTAATTTTGCTGTTTCAAATGAGTGATATAATCACTCAGGCTGTATCAGCTATATACCCACATTAGCTTGAAAAGTGGGATTAAATTAGCTAACTGCAAATCAGGGCTTTCTGTTATCACCATAGCAATTCATGTTTCTGTGAATAATATTGTGAAATCTTGAATCTGCCAAGGGAAACATTTTCAAAGCTCTGAGCATTACAGTTTTAGAGCTCGTGTGTGTTTAGAGCTGTGAGTTCTGCACTCAGTTAAATAACTTGGTGGAGCTCTCTGTCATACTAACGGAACTTGCACCTGTGAATCTAACAGCCCATTTATATTCCTAACAGAAATTCAGAAATATTTTTGTAACTCCCATGTCAACAAGGTAAGCTGTGGGACACAAGACAAGGCAGATTTTTGCTCCATTTGCTTACAGTATAAGACTGTTCTTCTGAATACCTTGTTATACACCACTGATCATATCTCAGCCTTTGTTCAATCACATAGATCTAGAAATTAATTTCAATTAGTATGGAAATAATAAGATGCATCATTAGTATAATGGATGCTCAAGCTATACTTTTCTATGATATATGAATATTCTTTAAGATATCTATCATACTGTGTCGATTATTAAAAGGGATTACTAAAATATATATAATTACAAACCCAAATATGTCCCAAGTAATCATTATATTTATTTGATTAATGTAAATTCATTAGACTCTTTATCTACTGTAGAGTAGTGATGTCCATTAAATGAATAGCAGTGGTATTCATAACTTTGTTTGTGGCTATCTATTAGAATCAGATACTTTACTTTATCAGGCTGGTCTCTGAAGCAGAAGCTTTCAGAAAATGATAAAAATCTAATAATACTCTTTGGAGGGGATGCAATGTGACTGATTGGTAAGGTCAAGAAAAATCTTATTTGCAATGCCCTTATTGGTACATCATTTGACATGACATTTTTACCTTGAAATTGGTTTTAGCAATTGAAGAATATGATGGTTTAGTTTTCAAGAAATATTGGATTGAGGATCTCCAAGAAAACCCCCCTAATTCAATCTATTGCCTTCTCAATTAAGATACTGCCTATCACCCAGCACCTTTAACTTTTATTTAATTAAACTTTAAAGTACATTCACTTTAAAAGCTAAGCCTACATTTTTCTTGTGACTATAATCTACATCTGAAGACAAAGAGGAAGAAAAAATACAAAAATTATGGAGCATTTCACAAGCATAAGTAAATGCTATACCCCAAAGGGAATAATAATGCATTGCACAATGTATGACTCATCACTTAAGGTATGTATTCTTGTTCCATTTGTAAAATATGACCCTTGAGGCAATTAATTCAAATCTGACCCACAGAACCTGAAATTCAGTGCTCAATTCAATTTTTTTTCATCTGATAGAACAACAGGAAAAGTATGAGGGAGGATCTCTGAGTTGCAGAGGTCTCCCCGCAGCTGACCCAGATTAGAGAGGGGCAGCTGGATGTGTATTACAGGATCTGCAGCTGTCAGAAAGGAGAAAAGGGCCAATTTTTCTTTCATAAAAAGTAAACTTTTGGAGTTCCAGTGAAGAATGAAATACGAATGAAGTTAAAGACAGAGCTGGAGACTCTCCAACTGTCTTTGCCAAAGGATGATTTCTTAATAGAAAGAGAAGAAAATATAAGTCCAACATGAAGAGAAGCCCATTCAGAAGACTTTTCTGTGTAAAACAGTGACACTCAAGCAGTGTACTTTTAATTTTAGTTTTCTCCTTGTATGAAGGCATGGGAGATGATACTTCTAGCCTATCAGATCATCAGACTGGAAGGCAGAGTAAAACCTCTCTTGCTCTTGGGTCTGAGAGCCAGCCCTTTGCCCAAGATGATCAATACTGACTGGGAGTCCAAATTCCTCCTGGGGCTTGGGATGGTCGATGTACCTTGTAGCACTGCATCCCTGGCACCCTGGTGATTTCACACAGTGGCTTTTCCCTGACATCCCTGCTGTACCCTTTCCTTGGCAGGAGATATGCGTGAGATACAGATTTGGCACAGAAAGAAAGATGAATTTTCCACTTTGTGGGAAACTCTTCACTGGGCTTCTGTGGCAGCTTTGTGCCATGGAGCCAAGACAGACAGAGGATCCAAGCCTAGGTGTCTTTGGATAGGGAATCATGAATATCTTCAATAATCACACACTCACTACCCACACTTTACAGGGAATTTGTTTTATCATTATTTAATACATCTAAGGTAGACACTCACTGCTGAATTCTAGGCATCTGGATGAATATGAGTATGAGTTGCTTACAGACTTTTGCTAAAAGACTGCAAATTTTAAGCATTGAATGAACTTTAGAATATTTTAAAAATCGCCTGTAAAACAGCAGGAAATGGCACCTGGCAGGGAGAAATTATGAAATGCTGAAGAACATTCAAAAGACTACTTACTGAAGAGATAATTAAAAGTCTGTGGAAAGAGAAGATCTTGCATAGCTACAGGGTCAGTTGTTGAAGGTCACGTATTAAAAAATGCATCTCCTTAGTTTTGCAGCCTTGCATATCTTGGGACATTCCTTGTTAGAAGAGATTAGGCAGTGGGAATATATATCCAAATTAGTTAATAGATGGAATATTGAAAATGCTACAAGAAAGGATCCCCAAATGACCACTTGCTCACTTTGGGGAATCAATGCAAACTACAGGTTTTCAAAGAAAAAAACATTATTCCCCAGTGCTTCAGAAGCAGAAGAATCATCTAGCATGACTACAACACAGGTTCCTGATCAAAGACCATTCCAAACTATGCCTAGGGTTTTTCTAAAGGAGGGAATGAGCTGCTTCCCTGCTTGTGTACCTCACACAGGAACAGGACATGTGAACAGAAGTAAGAAGGTTTCTGTATTCTTATGCATTCTCTAGAATTCTTGGGAATTTATGCAGCACTGCCTAAATTCCTTCTTTTTTTCCCTAGTCAGAACAAATGATCAAAAGAACTCATGAAATAGAAAATTAAAAGAAACACATTGCAATTATTGAAACATATGGTTCAATACATTTTTTCACTCACTGAAATAAATTCAGTGAAGGCAAAATGTTTTATTTTGACAGCGTTAACATAAAATGTAATATAAACACAACTAGTGTGAACACAGCACTGAACAATTTTAAGGAAATGTAAATAAATATGAAAAGAATACTGTAAAATGGAAACAAGGCATTTTTTGCTCTATAGAAAAAAAAAATTTCAGAGATACTAAACTACAAACATGAAAGCTGAAAAGCTCAACTTAAATATTTCTTCTACAGGGGGCTGGCATATTGCACCCAAAACTTTTCAGTCTCAGTGAAACTGCACTTCTTATAGGAAACTCTTCCAGAAAAACTTTTGTTTTTTGTTTGTTTTGTTGTACCACTCACCTCTAACACCAGGATGGAAAAAGGCACAGAAAAGCAAATGCCCCACGGCGTGTCTACTGGCTCTGCTCCCTGAGACTTTGGGATACAGAGTATCCCCTACAGCTCCTGCTGTTTACAGAAATAACCCTCCACCTACATTGTGACTCTATCAGGACTCTAGGTCACAATTAAACCTGAGGACAGACAGGTGACAGGAAAAGGTGAGACTTGTTTTAAATTGGGCACCGCCAGTTGTAGGCAAATGGAAAAGGGTCCAGGAGGTGGGAGAAAGAATGAGAAGAGCTCTAGGACACAACATTTATCAGGAGAATTTGGAGTGGTTTGGTTATTTTAACTGGAAAAGAGAAAGACTGAATCATAATTTAGTGCAAATATATAAAATTAGCTAGAGAGATTGATAATCTGTTGCTTGTATCCACAGAGGGTTAAGCAAGGAGATGGGTAATTAGCCACAGGATTTAGGTTAATTATTAGAAAGAAGTCTTTCCAAACCACTAGGTAAGCAGGTAGAGCAGCTCTCTCTAAAGCTTGTTTAAGCAAGATTGTGAAATTTCTTTCACAAGGAGCTTTAATAACAGCCTAAACAAGTATCTGTTAGGCAGTGGTCTGGGTACATTTGCTCCTGGCACAGGGAAGTGGGCCATGCTAGGCTGTTGTGGTCCCTCCCAGCTGTACTTTCCTTTGATGCTTTGGGATGTGTTTCAGTGCTGGCTTTGGTTTTCCCAAGAGCCAGAGTTTCTGAATGCTGACAAAAGCAGCTTCTTGGAGGAGGCTAGTGAGAGAAAACTGAAAAGAAAAAAGGCTTAAATAACAATTTAAAAAAATGACTCATTTAGCTATCCTCTCCCAAACTAAAGAAGCAAAAAGACATGTATCCTCAGCTATAGCACTTCTTGAGCACTTCTTTGGTCTGTTCAGGACAACAACCTGTGTTCTCCTTTATAAATGGGATGGTTGGTCTGGCTCTCTGCTGGAAACGGTTCATCATTGTTGTTTATTTTTGTAATGACTGGATGAAATGTTGGGGTTTTTTGGTATATCCCTTATGCAGAGAGCCCAGAACTTCCAGTGCAGCATGGGTAAGACTACAGGCATAAGCATCCTCCACCAGAAACTTCCTCATCTACACAGTACAATCTTGTTTTGCCACTTATAAATCTTCCCTTTCTACATGAGAATTAATAATCCTCCTCTAGAAATATGCTTGAGGTAGAGAATAGTGGCAGAACAAATGGCTGTCACAGAGGCAGGGAAGGCAACTGAGTGCCAGAAGCCTTTAATTTTAGTAGAGCAAAAAATATATTACTTGAGCAATGTCAAAGTACGAAACACTCTGGATTATAATCCATTTGAGGTTATATTCCACCTTTTGTGCAGGGGGAATGAATTTGTGTACAGCTGCTCATACACTGGGGCAATTTCTTAGAGATTGGCAGTGGCAGGAGATTTATTTGTTGGCAAATGTCAAACACACTGCAAGGTGTGAAAAGAAAAAGAATAAAAGAGAAAATTCTGACTGACTAAATCCATATATTTTTTCAAAAGCATCTTAGAGCCAGGATGAAAGCAAAACACTGCTCAAAGGCAAGGTTAATCCCCAATATTTGGGGCAAAAGAGTAAATTCTATGGTGTTTATTGCCAGGAGTTGCCAGTCACTTTTGGACAGTGGATTTTCTTTAAAACTTCCTATCTTTAAAATCTGTTCAGATTCTAAGAAGTCCTAAGTATTTGCAAGGTATGAGGTATCAGGGCCTGAAGAGAAGCAATATTGCATATTCCCACAGGGGAACAGAAAAAGCAAACGAATGATCTTTACACGAAGGAAAATCTCAAGACCTGATTTCAGTAATGATCCTTCCCTTCAAAATCCTTTGTGCTTAGAAATAATTATGCTCACATTACTCAAAATCTAATAAATTTTGAGTTTGGTAGATTTCACTGCAAGGTTTTATCTTCTGACTGATGGGTAAAGTGACTATTTGATAACACTTAACACTATGTTTCATTGGAAAGGAACTGATTTTTAGATTAAAATCTGAACCCATTAAATTACAAGCCACGACTACATGCTGCAGAAATTCAGGTCCTGACACTTATAATATTATACAAATTAGGATCATGAAGAATATGATGACCTTGAAGCTATACAAGACTGCAAATTTGCAGACATACAATTTAAAATGCATTGAGCAAACCTAGCTCTAATAGTTAGAATTCAATTCAGGAAACAGGGTATGATGATCATTGGAAATAAGCTGAGTATATGAACAGTAAGTAGCATGTCATAAAGAGTGTAGGTCAATTTAGCTTCAGTTAGACTAAACAAACCTTGCAGGATAAGAAAATGTTGGAGGTACAACAAAAATGTGTAGACAAAAGCTTACAGAAGGCAGTTTCAGTAGAACTAGGTGACAAATGCCATCTTTGCCTTGTAAGAATTAAAGCAGATCACATGGTCATATCTGTGCTTAGATTTGGACACTGTGTAGTTTCAACTCAGGAACAAAATAAAAGAAGACTTACATCTTTCACTGACCTGCTGTTTAAGCAGAGGTACCCGATTGAAAGAGTCCAAACCCATCTTAAAACTTAGTTGCTGAACTTAACAAAGTTAGGACAAATTTCCACAAAAGGGATTTTGGCCATCAGAAATTCTTAAAAATAATACATACTTTTGATTTTATATATTTACTCTTCCTTTGATATTTATTCACAGTCACCACTTCAGTATCACAGTAGTACTTGAACTTGCCATGTAATCTGACATATCTACATTGCATTGCTCTGTGTTCAGTCACTGAATTTGTATTGTTAAATTGAAATATAAAAATCTTCTTAACAGATACTGTACTAGCCTTATTTCTTTGGAAAAGGTTTCTTGGAAACGGTTGTTTTATCCTCAGCTTAATTTCAAATTTGTCTTGAATTTTGCCTATACAGTGAAAACAGTCTTTGCAGAAAACACCAAAATATCAGTGGAAGACTCAAAGTTTCAAGGCGAAAGTCAAAGTATTTTGACTGCAAATTCACAACCATTTACCACACCAGGATGAAAAGATAACAGATTGTCTTCTCTAAGACTGACTCACCACAGAGAAGTTCATTCCTAGTTTAGGTACAGTAATCACCATCTGAGGAAAGCACACTGAGTTCAAGTTGATTCCCTGAGCCGTGATTGTACTTCCACCACTAGGAAAATTTACCAAAAGAAGAAAAGAAAGAGAGAAGATAAGTAGGATAAATAACTACCCTAATGTAATGTTAATGATAAATTATATTTTAGAGTAAATGATAACATAAAACCAGAATTAGAGATATACTGGGTAAATGCAAATACTCAGCTTTGAGTAGTGAGATCATTTTTCTGGGAAACAGATTTTACATTTACTATAATAACGAATCAAAAAAAAGAAAAGAAAAATAATTTTTTAAACTGTGATAAGCCAGGGTAAAAACCAAATGTATACATTTTAAAAGAGGTAGCTTTTTTTGTATTTATCATTTGCTAACTAACTTATTTCACCTATTGCTTTCAGTGGTGCTGAAAAAGGTGCTTTTTTTACTGATGACATTTTTTTGGCAAAGGCAGATGGCTTGGATTAGAGCTACTGAGACCATAAATATGTCACTTGAAAACACACACATACTACCATACATATATATTCATAATATTTATATAGCACTGTATTTAGACTATTTTAAAATCCATTTGCTCTCCTGAGTCCGCTGACTTGTCACATTAAATGATTTTCCTCAGCAATCAGTGTAATGTCCAGACACAGTATAGGAGACACACTTAGCTGTGCAGTGGGTATCTCTGCAGGACATCACAGGTAGGCTCAGCAGCAGCTGGGAGTGAAATCACAAAGAGAAAAGAGGCACCCTTCCCCCTTCTCCTTCACCTCTGAAAGGAAATGATTTGCCCTCTGCAACTGCACCATAATAGAAACAATTGGCATGGAAGATAGAGATAAAAATGCAATTTCTTTTGATAGATTGCTGGGCAGCATAGCTGTTCTTTGTTCATTTGTTGCTTTTGTTATTTCTATAACAAAATTTTACTCACCTAAGGAAAGATTTGGCTGGATGAATGTTTAAAACAACTGGGTCTTCTCTGTATGTGAAATGTCTGCTTGTGTCTCGAATAGCTTCATCGATTTCCATTCTCACACGATATTCCTGGGGAATTTGCTGTGCTGGAGTGTAGCACTCCACAGTGCTCGCCGATATGCTGGGAGGACTGAAAACAGATTGCTTGTCACCCTTATAAACGTACTTGGCTTAAAACACTGTCCTTTACTGAGCCCCAACATTGCCTAAGGATCTGTTTCTAAAAAAATGTCATTGATTTTCCCATTGGATAATCAAATTTCAACAAGTAAGCACGACATAAGGTAGAAATTGCAACAGCATGGCTTAGGCTCAAGATTCATCTTAATTAAGGTGACTTGCACCTTGCCTGATGGAAGGTGTTGCCCTGGTACTGGTGACAACCTCATGAGCCCCTGAACCCTGCAAAGGCAGCTTCCAGCCTGGAAAACAAGAGCACATTCCAGGTTTAAGGAGAATGACTTGATCTGCTATAGGATAATGCCTCTTTCAAATCCACAGGACTTACTCTGTGTTAAAAGCCTCAAGTAAAGGTGCTTGTGTGGGATGTACCAGATGCTGAGGGGCAGGCAGAGGGCAAGAAGAAAGAAGAAGGAGAAAACTCAAGAAGAGCTGGCTGAATTCAGCACATCAGCAGAGTGTCTAGGATATTCACCTTTCCCTTGCTATCATGCCTGGCCATGGAAGTCCTCTTCCTTCTACAGTGAGCTCAGTGGGTGAGCTGGCAGCAGGAGGATCCTGAAGTTTGAAGCAAATAAAATGCAGCTGCAGGGAGCAGGGCACAGGGACAAGGGTGGCAACTGACTGGAGAAGCAAATGTAACTCTACTAGCTGGTTTCAGTGATTTGGGCCCAAGCACATCCATGGGCCATCCAAGTGAGGTTGTTCTCACAGAATGTAAGAGATGGTTTCCAAACTAGACAAAAGGGACATTTGCTACAACTTATAATGCTTTCCAGGAAGGTGGGATTCACCATAAGGGATAGTGATTCATTCTTCTGTATCTGGAAGCTTTTTAACATCTCTTGAAGGAAAAAACTAACCTTGCTCTAGCTGCCCTCAGAACTGGGGAAAGCTGCCTGTTTAGCTAGAGAAACACCTGCCTTGAGAAATTGGTTAAGACCTGCATAGAAGTCTACAGGCAACTTGGCTAGTGAGAAAGAGGGGTGCTAGAAATACTTACTGGGTAAGTCTCAGCTATTGTTCAATACCTAGAGGTCCACCTGAGCAATATCTGCATCTGAGCTGGCTGCTGTCCCACCCCCATAGCAGATGTCTCAAATGAATCATTCCCAAAAGGTTTATACACTTCTCCATTAGCTGAAAAGTTGAGATGAAGACACCAAGAAATGCAACCATAGCTATTAAGGAAGAGAAGTGATGAAGATCTTTTTGGGGATCAGACTTGAATATCTAAATTCTTTTTCTTGATTTAGTCAGACTTGGCTGATTTGATCAAGAGCATACAATAAATCATCTAGCAATAAAGAATAAATTTCATCTCTCCTGACTCTGAGTCTTGCATTAACTTGTAGGCTGCTGCTTCCCCACATCTCCAGAAGTGTGAAGTTTTACCACTATGACTTTCCATAATCGTTAGATGATGCTCAAATTTCATAGGAATTGCTGGATATCCCGTTTCTGGAACACCTTGGGCCAGATTCTGCCCTTGTCCGCAGAGGTGACAATTCTGGAATCATCCTGCTGTACCTAAGCACAGAACCAACTAGGACTTATGCCATGGTAGAATGGCTACCAAATTCAGAAATCTTGTCTACCCATAGCAGAGAATCTGTACTTGGTATTTAACGCTTATATACAGCTGTGGCTCAATGTGGGAAGGTAGCTTGTAAGGATAGTGCAGAAGGCAATTTTCCTCATTGGATTACTGCTGTACTGATGGCTGAGAAGTGGAGACAGCCTTGCCTGCCCAATGAGGATGGGTGTTATAAAAGAGTGGGCTAGCTAGCCACAAGTTACAGTTAGAGCTTGAGAGCCAGAGTCTGCTGGAGTTGGGGATGGAGGCTGCTGGCTGTGCTGTGAGGAGGAAGGGATGGGAGGTTGTGCAAGGGGCAGATATGGTGAGAAGATGTTGTGTGAGGGACAGTCAGGGTTAGGGAGCTGGGAAAGGGACAGCTTGGGGTTAGCCAGTCATGCAGAAGGAAGACTTGCAGAGAGGAGAGGAGTCAGTACTGTGTGGAGCTGCATGTGAGGAAAGGAGTCAGAGTTGCCTGGAAAGAAGTCCACTGAGAGAAGGCATGAGAAGTTTTTAATAAAAGACTGGTGATGATGCCAGTCGTGTCTGTCTCGACATAATTACTACAGTTGAAGGCATTTCCACACAGAACACATCAGAGGTTTGTGACTGAGCTCCTACTGGATCCAGTACAGAGCCACAAGAAATTCTGGCTTAAACCTCCAAAACGATTTTCTAGATACCAGAAGTCCCAAACTGATGCTGCCTCTATTTTGTAGACTGTTCACTGATAGCAGTGCAGAAATAGTGCTCCTCTGCATGGGATAGACATTGTCACAGTGGTCAGGTTTCCACCCAACAAGGCAGTAGGAAATGGTAACTTGTGCCCACTGGCTGCTCACTGGCAGCTGCTGCATGAACAGCAGCTCTTGCTAACACAAGAGAGAGGGCTGAGTGGGTGGGAATCAGGGTGACAAAAATGGTGGGAAATAGTTTCTTGTCCATTAGAAGCTGATTTGACACTTCTCTATGCAACCTTTTAATGAGGTGAATGAAGACATTACAGAATAAACAAGACTTCCAGAGAACTGCAGTCCCTTCTAGAAATCTTTCAGGACAGATGCTGCTTATTATATAAATTCTGTAATTAGTGACACAAGGAGAGGAAAGCAAATGTTTGGGTTTGGTATTTTTAACTCCAAGGCTTTTAATCAAGACATTTCATTATTAAAGGTGTTGTGTTTTAGTTAGAACATTACCTTTTCAAAGTGCATGGTTGCTCACCAACAAAAATCCTCATGGATTTCCCACTGTCTAGGTACTTTCCAGCTACAGTCAGCAATGTTCCTCCAGATTTGGGGCCATAGGTGGGAGATATACTTGTTATTACAGGATTCTGAGGGAAGGTAAAAATAAAACCAATGGATTATAAAATTATTTTCAAAATGTAAAGAGGAAATCTTAAAACATTTATTAACATTTCCATGAAGTAACAATAAAGCCAACATGAATACAGAAATTACCATGCTATATTGGACTCTTGAGGAGTCCCTATCAGCAAATATTGACACTAATTTTGACTATAATAGTTTAATCACAGTGCTTACCACGTATGAAAATGTATTGAACACTGTTTTGCCATGTCCAACAGAAACACTACTGGATATATTAAAACCTGGACTTTTTGCAGCAGGAACTGTGCATTCCAGCCTTTAGAAAACAAGGAAAAAATGGGGTTACATTTTTTTTCTGATTGATTTTTTTTTCATATTAAAATAGAACCACTTCAAACCCATAGTAATGGGGAATCCATACTAAACAGATCATCAGTCTCTGTGCATCACAGACATTTCAGAAATAACAGTTAAAAGAACTGTGTCCCTCTTCTTTAACAATAAATATAAATGCTGTCTTCAACGCTGTGGTCTTCATAATACTTGGCCACAGAAAATAATTTTAGTATATCATCTACATTTCAGAAAAAAGAAGCATGATAGAAAAAAACAAATACCTCTATTCAATAGCTGATGGATGCTTTTGAACTTTCATTCAGTATCAAATTTTGGCAGACAATAGCATTAAAAAAATGAATCATATACACAAGTTTGTTGTTAAAAATAAAATATTACCAAAAATTAAACTTGAAACTTCTGCAGCAGCATGTGTCAATGTATTATATTACATTCACATAGTCTCATATATAATCTAGTCTCCTTAAATCATCTTGTTTCCATTAAGACTGTTCAGAACAGCATTTGGGAGAGTGCTCAACACTTCTGGAGCACTTGCTGGAGTATCTGCATTGCTATGTATGCGAATAGGAAAGCTGTGCCACGATTTGTGCATTGCTTTGGTGTCAGAGAGAGGATATTACTGTATTTCTGAAAGGTAACAACCAGAGTAACCTCTGTCTTAAACTTAAGCCATAATCCCAGTGTCTCAAATACTTATTTCTGGGGAGGAGGAGGAGAAGAGGTGCAGATGAGGGTCATAAACTTCTGGATAATGAAATACCTGCATCTTCTCACACTTCTCTCTAGCAGCTTTACAGATCAGGAAGACAGAGGTGACATAACTAAGGCTCAGCAGGATCCCAGCCAAAGGAACTGCCCCCTTTTCAAAGCTTTGAATAGATTTATTCTTGCCAGCTTCCACAGATATTGAACAGCATTTCACAGACAAATCAGAAAAACTACTGCAGGAGATATTTGCAGAAACTAGATTTATTTCATCTCCATTTTGAGCATTGTTTTTCTTGGGGAGTTTATTAAACCATGGGATTTTTTCAAATTTGATATTTCAGAATCAGAGACGATACTTATTGGCTGAATGTTTGTATTTACAAAAAAGTCCGTACCACATAAAGAACATCTGTATAAATGGAAATTAATATTTTAGGTTCTTACCTATTTTTGTTGCTAGATTTTGCTTCCAGAGGACAAATTTGTCCCCCAATATGGACTACTGTATTTTTTAACTCAAATCTGTTATTTTTGCTGAATCCAAAGTCCCATCCACACAGTGTCAATTTTGTACCGCCTTCTATGGGAGCACTGCTCGGGAGAATCTGTTAAAAAAATATTGTGTTAGTTGAATCAGGTTTTCTTGAACTTCACTTGGAGCTAAAGAATGGGCAAAGGAAGAACTTTAGAAAAGCATTTCTTTTTGGTAGACTATGTCCTAGCATTCATCTTAATTGTTCTTCACCTTTCATTTGTCACATTATGAGCTTTCTATGACAGTAGCAATAAATAACAAAACCTATACTAGAAAGCTTTGAAAGATAGTGTTTAGGGGCACTGAACAAGCTGTGCATTGTAATAGTCTTTTAAATCCTGCCGTTCTTGTCTTTCACATCTTATTTCGGGCGTGTTAAACATACAATATACTTATTTTGTTAGAAGCTGAATGCTGAACACAAAAGAGCCCCCAAATAACCGTTTTTTGTCAGCTTGATGAAAGTCGGGTTCAGAGTGAAGTAGCTTCAAAGACACCATAATCCAATACCACACTGACTGTGATAAAGTTAACATGACTTCTGCTATTCTTTCCTTAAACATTTTACATTTGGTCACCTCTAATTCCAAGTTAAAAATAAACTGCCCCTCAGAAACACAGAGACAATCTACAAAGGAAATACTTTTTTTTTTTGTATGTGTGTGTGTATTGTAAATTGTCCTGTAAAATATAACAATGGTGGGAAAAACGTAGGAACACTATAGAAGTCTTACAAAACTCTGTAAAAGTACTGGCTAGTACTGTCAGTAAAAAAACCCAAAGCCCACCAAAAAACCAACCAAAAAGAAAAGACATTAGTTCAGGAATTATGAGGACTTTCAACAATACTGCACAATTTTGCAAACATACCAGTACCACTAGACAAACAAAAAAGAATGAAAGGAATGAGAGGCTGAATTTATACTTGTGATTATAGTGCCTAAGTATCTTAAACTTAATGCTTTAGTGATAATAATTTTGCCCCTAAAATGCAATACAGCTGTGTCCTTCAAAGAACCCGGCTTAATTTTCAAGCTGAAAGGAAAGTGTTTGAGTGATACTTGGCTATTATTTCATCTGGAAATCCAGCAAGACAGCACATTTCTTTTCAACTCTCTTGCAGCTATACTTCAAGACTCTCACAAATGAACTATTGTAGATAGAAAGGCAGCTGAAGAATACTTCAAAAGAATTATACTATATACTATATATGGGGAAATTTACTGCCCTCATTAGAAACCAGACAAAGAGTCTGCTTTAAAATGCACTGAAGCCAGAATGAACCTTTCCTGTTTTAAAGAGCTTTGAATCAGCTCTCAATGAGCAAAGAGGGAACCTATGCAGGAGCAGCAGTTTTGTACAAATCTGCAAAAAAGAGTGATAACTCACACAGCTCCCTGACACATAACTGCAGCTATGAGCTTGGAGTCATACTGTGCCCACAAAGTCTGTGCTATTCCCAAGTTTAACTCTTCCCTATTTCTTTGGAGTTTTCTTCTTCAAAACCTAGATTTGACTTCAGATTTTAGTTTTCCATTCTACTCAGTATCTCAGCACATCATGTATTTTTGAAATGACAAAACTCTAGAAGAAACTGAAATTGCTCTGTGGGGGTATAGGATGTCCCGACAGTTTTTAAAATACATTGACATGTGGCATTTGAAGAGTTTGAAATGAAATCCACAAGTTAGCAAAATAAGGGCTTCACAAAGCCATACAGAATTAAACCTGAACGTACTGATCACATTTTTAGTGCTCTTACATGGCAAAAGAGACTTGTGATAGCAACCTGTGTGCCTTAGTAGAGGGACAGAAAGTACATTTAGTACATTCTGTCAACAAATTTAGAAGGCAACTCCTCTAAGTAGATAGCAAAAAATAAATAAACAAAATCTTAAAGTTTTGGTTTTAAGTTCTGTAGAACTCCCTCATTTTAATTCAAGATTTATTTTTCTTCCATTTGAACAAAAATTGTTCGGTATGATGAAATTTCTGAAAGTCAAACGTGGTTTTCCAGACTTTTTCTTGGGAGAGTTGACAAGAATGGACAGTGAACCTCCTGGTCTTGCAGGCCTCTTCTGACTACTTACATTGCACTGGTAGTAACAGAAAACAATCAAAATGCAAAACAGTTAAAAATGCAGGGATTCAAAAAAATATTGTGTTACCTCCACTGATAATATGGAGCAAGTATTCTGCAAGGTCTGTCATTCTGGTATTCCTTGAACTTTTGGTTAAGGGAGAAAGTTAACTTTTTGTTTTTGTAAAAATTTAAAGCATTGTGTTTTCCTTTTATTTATGTTGACAGTTAATATCCACTTATATACTTAATATATGTTTTGGAAGAAAATATCTATTTATTAAAGTTTCATCAGCCCATTCATTTTAATTCAAAGATAAAAACACGTACAACCACATGTGAGATTTCCAGCAAAGCCTCCAACCTAAACAGGCAGCAGAAGGCCTGATGCTCTTGATATGCCTGATACAAAAGCCAGCTAAAATGACTCACTTTAAAAACAACAACAAACCATGTCAGATTTTTAACCACAACAAAGAATCAGAAGGGAGACCAATTTATTTCTTCTTTTACACCCTTCACCTTTTAGCGTGACCTGAACACCACGCGCAGATGCCTGCAATTTGTTCCAGCACCGAGTGATCTCCGAGGAGACTCCCTCCCTGGCTTCCCTCTAGAACTGCTCGTCCAGGCTGATGAAACTCCTTATTGTTGGCAGAGGCAGTGGATGGGAGCAGCCTGGCAGCTGAGCTGTGGAGGGGATGTGTCCCAGTGTCTGCCCTACTATGCTGTCTGTGTCTGGGCAGACTCCTCTCCAACACACAGCTCCAAGGGAAAGTGCTTAAAGCAGGGAAAAGAATCAAAGGATCTGCAGGACTCCATGGGAAAACACTGGGCTTCTTCTCTGCCATCCTTCCTGAGAGGAAAAAAAATTTTTTTTTCCCCATTGTATACCACTCTGTGTAATAACCTGGGAAAACGTCATTGAAGACTTATTTAGCTAACATCCACTGGACCAGAGCCTCAGAGAGCAATCTGTTCCCCTCGGGTTAAAGTGATCATATGACATATCTCAAGCAATCTGTCCCTCCTAAAGCTGCAAAATATTAGGGAGAGGTTCGGACTGAATTTCAGATACTATGCAAAGCAGGTCATCCTCTGTTTGTTAGGAACAAAACTAGCTTGTTCCTTACATTTTATGCATGTGAGTTTAAAGACAGATCAGAAGATGAATAATCTGTTTTATTTTTTTTTCAGTAATCGTGTTAAATGTCATGGTCCAGTAGAGCATGAAATTTGTCTTAACAGCTAGCAATCCAATGGATTTAAGTACCCAGCTGCATTTTTTTTCCTGACAAGCCTTCTGGAAGCAACATCTACCAGCATCGGCATGCAGTAATTTGAGATTCACTTTAAGATCCATCAGTGTCACAGATCCATATTCATTTACAAGGGTAGGCTGGGCTTTTGCTGAGCAGGCTGGGCTGAGCCACATGGGGAAGGGGAGCACCTGGGAGAGGGGAACACCTCACACCTGTTCCCACTCCCCATGTCCAAGGTCTGCTCTCCTTCCAGCAGCTTCACAGGGACTGCAGAGCTGGCTGTGGGGGATACACCTCTTGGTCTAAGTGCCTGTGCCTGGGCTCCAGGCTCTTGGTTCTTAAAACTGCTGAGTGAACACACTCAAAATTGAAATTAAAGAGGGCTACATAAGTTCAGCACCTCTGAAAATCAGAAACTAAGCAGTTCAGAGCCTGAGGAATATTTTTTGAGCTATGGAAATATATAGCCACTGCTAGAAGGTTTGTGAATTAAAAAACATTAAGGGTGCTTGAGCTCTAGAAAAGATGAAACAAACTGAGCAGGATAGTTGAGTACCTTGGGCCCGCAGAGATACAGAAAAATGTATAAGAGCTACTTCTCACTGTATACCTTTGAATTGGTGATTCAGTCTCATACAGGCTAAGGCTGGAAAGGATTATTTCACTATCTAATAAAACCTTTTTGAAATAAATACGGTTTTATATAAAGGAAAAGTAAACTATTCACATTCTGCATTAGCAATTTTTGTGCGTCTGCTTTATCCTAAGTAAATGGACATAGAAGGTGAGGCAAACCGCCCCTCCCCCTTCCATTTTCCATCCATTTTGGGTTTGATTCCTATAACTCTTCACTGTTTTTTTCACTGAATTTTGCCTGTGTTAATCCTAAATTTTGTGTCTGAAAGGTGAACATGGAAAAAACCAACCCTGCGTGTTTTATAGAAACACACAAACGTGTTTCTATACTTATTTCAAGATTAGTAGCAGTTTTGCATTAGAACTTAAAAATACTGTTGTACATGAAATCATATGCCTGGATGAAAGAAATACATTATTTATTTAAAGACCCACTTTTTTCTCCCTTTCTCTCTAAGAGTTTAGCATATCAAACTGTCATCTCTGTATCTCATCAAGTTGTATTCTAATAAAGGAAAATGTATTTTTAACTACACGATGTAGTTTAAATGCACTAACACAAGTGAATGGGTATAAATGCTACCAGGAAGTTTTACGCTTGTCCTTCCCTTAGATTTCTAGTCCATCAACTGTAGAGCACAAATCCTGCGTTAACCACAGCTAAATTAAAACTGGACTGTTCCAGTGCAGCTCCCTGCTCAGCTCTGCCTTTTTGTTCTCACACACCCTGGATGAGCTTTGTCTGCCTGGCAGCAGCCTCTGGCTGCCCCTGTCCCGGGGTGCAGCTACAAGCTTGTTCCTCACTGGTGCCAAGTGGACCCATGGGAACGAGGAGCCAGGGAGGGACATTATGGAAAAAACATTTCCCCAGGACCTTGGGTAGGGGAAAGAGCGGATTTTTCTCACAAAGAAACACCAGACTTTCCTCCAACACTGGAGCCAGCACAAGGATGGATGAGGAGTGGGGGCCAGAGACCTCCTCTGCTGGGTCAGGCTGTGGTGGCTCTGGGCAGGAAGCGCTTTCCTCCACTTTTGTCTCTGAGAGAAGTCTAAGAGGAGGGATGCTCCTTTCTGTGACTGGCTTTCCTGTCAGACCCCTGCCAGGCTGGCTCAGACCTATCTTGTTTCCCCATCAGAAGTGCTTTGTAGGGCCAGGGATCTCCCAAGGCTGGTAAGGATGATCAGACAAACCTGTCCATCCACGAGCACTTCAGCCCACAGTACTCAGGGAGACCACGTGCATCCAGTCAGAGGATTTATGGACATCAAGGCTGAGGGGAAGTTGAGGAAAGCTGACAATTTTTCATGATTACATTAACAGAAGATGTCTACAGAGTGCAGACTGTTCTTCCCTCAAGAGACAGATGTGAGAAATCCACCACTTTACCTCATAAACCCTAGGCAAGCAGGTGTCCTGGGTCCAGGTGTTGCTGGGGCACTCAGAAGACCTGAGGCACTGCTGGCTGCACCAGCCACACTGCATGAAGGCTGGTGCCAGCAGGCACTGGCTGCAGGACCTGAAGTGATGGCAGCCTGGCCCCTTCAGAGGGATCTTTGTTATCTGTCAATGGAGAGACATGATGCACACATCCTTTTAATACATGCACTAAGTGGCAAGGAGAATCTCTATTTATGCATAGCGTGCTGGTGCTACTCAGATTTCAGATGTGGAAGCCACAGTTCGACTTCTCTTTAGCTCAGTAATTATAGGATCTTATAAGTAATTTAACTGACATGATTTTAAATTCGCTTGGGAGAAACCCTAAAGGCATCTTAATGTTATATACAGTTACCACCAGCATCTGGTGTTTACAGCAAGATAGCATTTTTTTGCTGATGGAGAAAGAAAACAGCAGCGTGCTCCTCCCAGTTCTGTATCTCAGTGTATCTCAGTATGCCTTAGTTTATACATTTGTAAAAACAGGCATGATGGCTATTTCAACTTCGGTGAGACTGTATTAATATCTGTGGCACACTTACAGCATGTGACTACCCATGTACTTGTTTTTTAACAACTATCATGAAAAAACCTATACTTTACCTAAAATGTAAGTTAAAATTTATATTATTTAAAATATCAGGATAGTTATGAAATAGTCACTCTAAACATGTAAGAATTATTTTTGGTCAAAATATTAAAATCTATATATAATTACATTATTATGTAAGTGCCTCATATTTCTTTATACTTCAGGACATCCCTTAAATTTATTTTGTACATTTTCTGAAGACCACTCTTATAAATATCTCATACGTTTCTAGTAAATGATTAATAACAATCTTTATGGCTGATGTATTTCTGTAAGTCCTTATAGAACTCAAGGGGTCAAATTATTGCTTACAATCATGGTTTAGGATTATCTGTAATATTATCTGCTGATGTTTTAAACCTATTCTTCAATGCATATCTACTTATGACAATAGCATACTTATGATAGCTCTTCATCTTTTATTAACTCTTTGTAGACTACATGCTAAAGTAATTTTCAAGCTTTACTGACTCGTAGTTGTACAGAAACCCATGTAACTCTTGCACACACAACCCTCCTTAAAAAGTTACAATGCTATGACACAAACCTACAAAAACCAGGAAACTGAGCACCATTCTTTTCATAAGCCATTGTGTGCTTTGTCTTTGCAAGCACTTGAATTAGGGACAGATTTTCAGCCTTAAAATTTGCATTTCCTGGCTTTTGTTGGTTTATATCACCAGCTCTTACATTATTTAAACATTTCTCAATATTAGGCTGCCATTTTGTTTAGTATGGGAAAAACTGTATCTTGGAGGAAACTTGCACCCTCAGTGTTCTGAGGGAATGACAGGGCTAAGAGGATGCAGAGCATAAAGCAGCAGTGTGAACAGCTGCTCTTACCAGGAGCTGCTGCTCTGCAGGCAGGTTTACACAGTGCACAGGAGGATCAGATTATGAACCACTCACCTTTCTCCCAGTCACTACCAGGGTATAGCCATCATCTGCTAAAGAATTCTTCACAACAACCTGGGGAGAGATGGGGTGGGTGTCTAGCTGAAAGCTGACATGTGGAGCTGTGGGTTCTGAACGGGAAACCACTATCTAAGAAAGAAAGAAATATTCAAAATCAGCAGGCAGTATGTAACACAAATGCATGCTGCTCAGTTGTCTCATGTTCTCTGCTTGCATTAATTACTTTGCATTACATTGCATAATATTTTGCATAATGTTCCATCATAATCTGATTAAAGTGCTATAAAATCTACTTTATTTAGTACAGCAGAACCATGGCTGTTGGAGGATCCTCAAAATATACTCTATTTATTAAAATATGCAGGAGTCACTGCATGTTTCCTAGTCCTTCAATTTCAGGTATGTCTAAATCACCATCAAAAATAAAGATAGGTCACTTAGTCAGTCCTATACTTTTAGGAGTGAATAATTTTATCTACAATATCTATTTAAAAGAATCTTAAAACTCCAGGTCTTCAGAAGTCAAAACCATTTCCTTTTATTTTCACTTTGGTCCTTCAGTTTGAAAAGTAAACTTTAGTCTGTCTCAACAGTCTCTGGTCTTGCTGCACGTGGGGCAATTAGATAGCAAAGCTATGTCAGGCACTGCAGGTGGCTGCTGTGGGCACCCCTCGGAGCCACAGGTACACAGAGCTCAACACCCCGAGCCGAGATGGCTACAGCTCTGACAAGCTCCTTGCAAGCTTTGGCTGGGCACCCTGAGCTGCTGATTTCCGTGTGAGCTGCGTGTTCAGGACTGAGCATTCAAAGCACTTCTTAAATTACAGGGAACGGTGGAGGATCCTTTAGGAGATGCTCCAAAACAGGAGCCTAATTTAGTCGTCCTGAAGCCCCTTTGCAAAAACCTTCCCTTTCTCCCTCTCTCTCTCTCTCGATTTTAGGAGATCTTAGGGAGATTAGTCACACCAGCATGAAATTCCCCCACTACTCATCTCTCTGCATCTTGAGTTACCTAAATTCTTCTGAGAATCCGGGTCTATTCCTGCAAACACACGCCTAACTTTACTACTGTAACTTTGTTGACTTTAACGGGATGAGTCATGGCTGTTAAGCAGAGGCATAAAGCATCTGCAGATCGGGGTGGATATTTGATAGCAAGATTTTATAGGCTTGGGCCTGCAATCCAGAAGGATGTGCGCCCAAATGTGATAGCATCAGGCAACAAAGGCAGAGGATTGTTTACATGAGGAAAGATCATGTTCATGTTTCAAAAGCTGTATCACGTGTAGTTTACTTAAGGAATTTAGATAATCAACATTTGCTGAGAAGTTAGGATTCAATGGGGTTCATTATTTAAAAAGATTGAAGCCATTCTGAAAATAACTTGTATGTCAAACGTTTCATTTTTTACTATAATGAAGCTTTTCTTCTGACTCCGAAGGCAGAATCTGAACAGCCTGGACATTGACTTACACAATTTCACTGGCTTTTTGCACTGCCAAGGTCTTTCAACAAGATGGCTGACTCCAAAACTAGACTTAGAGATGCAGTAATTATAGCTGATGTTTTGATGTAATTCAAGACTTAAATAAAATATATGAGCAGTTAATTCATCCGATAACTGCTTCACATCCCAGAGGCATTTATAGTTTGGAGTTGCAAGAGGCTTTTTTTCTTTAAAAATGAAACTGGCTTTGTTACAGACTTTGCTATGGATTTATTTCACAGCACAGAAAGTACAGATTTTAGAAATCAATAAGGTATGATCGTTTTTGGTGACACAGAAGTATGGTCTCTGACTCGGTGTAATAGGGCATGAGCTCTGTTTTTCTATTCAGGACAATGAAAAATAGAATGGACTGGAAAGCTGCATGAAAAAGCTTGATTAATGTTGGCATTATGGGGAGAGGTAGCACCACAGCTGCAAATACCTTTTTAGTTGATCATTAGCTGTGTCTCATCTCGAATACCCACTGCTATAAAATGCTAAGAATTCTTTTCCATCATGAATCCAGGCTTCCTCTTATTGCCAAGCATTCTTTCTGATTGAGCCACAGTGTTAACTCTTTAAACACATCTGCATTCAAACCTCAGAGCAATACATGAAAATTTGAATTCCACCTCTACAATCTTGGAAAAATTACTTGGTACTTTAAACACTGACTGACCTTTATTTTACTGAGGTTGATAGGCAAATCACCTGCTCAAAGCCCAAGGGAATAGACTTTGACCTCATGACATAAAGGGAGCTTGGATTACACTTCCTAGCTCATGGAATAAAAGTTTGGATTTTGCTTAGAACTAATCTACCAGCCTACAGTGCTGCTATAATGGATACTAGATGCAAAAATGTTCTTTTTGGTCTATACAACTGTGTGATTTTTACACACACCAGCCCAGTCCTTGAAATTCTATCTTACCCTTATCCGACATAATCCTGGAAAAAAAAAGCAATTTGAAGACAGATTCTACAGCAGTAGGAAGAGGCTACTTAGGACTCCAGTGTCGTTCTCATAAAGCTCTGATTTTATGGCTTGGGACTGAGCTGGTATGTGTGCAGCATAAATTTCATCTGCCATGGACACACCAACATACAGGGACCACTACCATGAAAATGGTTCAGTACTACAGGAGGATTTCCCTCTGCAAAGACTATAAAATCCCGGGGGTTTTGGGGGTATCTTTTTTTGGCGGGGTGAGAGTGGGTGTTGGATTTTTTTTTTGTTTGTTTTATTTACATTTTAGTAATTAATTTATTAACCATGCATTTCTCCAGAGCATAGGAGAAATGAAAGCTTATTTCCATGCTTGCACTCAAGCAATTAGGAGTGAGGGAAGGTCTAGAACAGATAATTAACCAAAGGAGAACTAACAGACATTAGTAGTAAATGGTCAGTAACTGCAATAGTAAGAAATCACCAGAGGTGTTCTACAAGCTGTCTGTGCTGGGGTCCATACTGTCCAATACACCTGCCAGTGAGTTAGAAAAGTGGTTGAGCAGTCCATTAAAAAAAGTTTTGTGATGATCTGAAGGTATTCAAAGTTAGGATGAGGACAGACTATGAAGGATGGCAAAAGGACTTTACAAGACAGCATGTCAAGGCAATAAAATGGCAGGTGATCTACAACAAAGAAAATTAATTTAAAACAGTGTATGATAGATATCTACCTGCTTAGCATCAGCCAAAACCAACCTTAAAAAATAAAATTAAAATAAAAACTTAGAAATTATTAGAAAAGGATTAGAGAAAAGCCAGAAAACACCCCGATATATAAATCTCCTGAAACTTAAAATCTCTGTGCAGTTCTACTTGCCTCCTGGCAAAAAGAGCATGTTAAAAACGGGGAAAGCTCAGAGAAGGGTAACAAAGTAACAAAGATGAAGAAAAGGCTGTAATGAACAACGATTGAGTATGGTATATGTGGAATCTCTATGCAAAAGGAATAAAGAATCATGAGTGTGTAGAGACCAACCATAAACTCCCTTCTACAAAAACCCAAAACAGGGTTGTAGCCAGCTTGGGGCTGATCTCTTCTCCCCAGTGAGAGGAAAAGAAGAAATGGCCTCAAGTTGCACCAAGGGAAGTTTAGATTATATTTCAGGGAACATTTCTTCACCAAAAGGGCTGTCAAAGAGTGGAACAGGCTGCCCAGGGAAGTGGTTGAGTCACCATCTCTGGAGGTATCTAAAAGACACGCAGAAGTGGCACTTAAGGGCGTTGTTTAGTCGTGGACTTGGCAGTGTTAGGTTAATGGCTGGACTTAATGATACCTGAGGTGTTTTCAGTCCTAAATGATTCTATTATTCCATGATTTAATTCTAATAATAATTCTAAACACCACCAAAAGACAAAAACAAGACTTAGGTTCAAGAAAATAAAAGAACATGACATCCTAGCAATATGCAATAACCTATAGTACTCCCTACTAAAGGATGTGAATGCAAGAGAAGTGCGCATTCAAAGGGAAACTCCACAAGTACGTGGAAAGAGCTAAACAGACAAAAATCAGTAGCTCAGAAAATTCACAGAAAAAATAGTTGGAGACTTGAAGCAGAAGGTAGTAGCTATGTGTGTCTGGTCACTAGGCATCCACTTGTCAATACCACTGGAGACAGAGCACTGAACTAGATGGACCCTTCATTTAAATCCACGTGGCTCTTCTGATGTCTTTTAACAATCACGTTCAATATCAGTAACTACAACAAAGATAGTATTTATGTCTCTCTATTTAGAGAAAAACAAACATTTTTCTTCCAGCATAGCTCATGTTATTTCCATGAAGATAACAACCAACAGTTAATTAATAATGAATATATTAATGTATTCTTTGAATTGGAAGTCACTTAGGTCTATGAACACTAAAATTATTAACTTAAATATTATTTCATTGCCATCAGCTAGTATCAATGTTAAATATGAAGACTTGAGTCTAGGTTTGTCTGTGCAAAATTAAGACTGTAATAACTTGAGCTGAAAACCAGCATGCAACAGCTTATTTTAAAAATCATTCTGATGCTCAGTTCTGCTAGTCAGCAGGATTGAATTACAAATGTTACTGTCTACATGTTGAAATATCTTCTGCAAAAATGAGAGGCCTTCTAAAAGGAATCCAATCTAAGTATCATATTGTTATTTTTTTTCCCTAGATGTCTGACAGGTGTATGCCATTATCCAGCAGAGATAGGCTCAGGGTTAACTTCATTGTGCAATGCCTCAAATGCCCTGGGATATGCAGCATAGCCTTGCAAAGGGCGCATATGTGGCTCTCTAAATGCTGTATATCATTCTAATCCATTAAGAATATAATGGATATCTTCTGAAGGGTGTAAGCTTTTCTACTCAAACTGAATATTAAAACATATGCTCTCTCAAACCAGTTATTCAACACCAGGTGTTAATTTTAATTTGGCTGTATGGATTTTGCATTATGCAGTGTTTGATACCTTTTTTCCCTTGAGAATCAAGATACATTCTTCACCCCAGAAAGAACTGCTATCATAAATGTTAAAAGTTGAGCTATAGATGTGAAAATGCTAGTAACAAGAGTTTACCACAGTTTTCTGTTTACTTAAAAATGAAAGATGGAAGGATTGCAGCTATTCACATTCCTACAAATGCTTGTGTGCA